CCCCCCCCCCCTACATCAAATGTGCCAACTCCACCATCCCCTTTTTAACATTCAAATTGATAAATTTTATTTTCGTATGAAAAGATTTGTGATATTGCACAAGGGTTCCTGAAAAATAATTTTAAAAAAATTATTTAAAAAATGACGATAAAGGTTAACTCACCTTTTCTGCGAATAAGTTTCTAATATCAATATCTATTTCTCGACACATTGGACAGGATTGAACTTTAACCCGACACGCATTACATGTCACGTGACCATTTCTAGAAATATTATTACATTACATTTCATCAAAAGGAATTTATATTACCTTCTATTTAAAGAGGCATATTTCCAATTTAACAACGATACTCTTAGAACCTCTAGCTGATCAAGGATAAAAGAAGTTTCTTGAGTAATCTATATAAACGCTTGCAATTGCAAATTGTAAAACACTTTGTTTCCAAACTCTTTAAGGAATATTAAAATGGACTTTCACTTTTTTAAAAACCGAACAGGACATTAAATGCGCTGATTTTCCAACAAAAATGTAACGGAATCCACATTGAGTTCACAGAGTACGCTTGCTTACACACCAGCTTTACGGGTTTTACACAAAAATGTTTAAAGGGTATAATTGCGAATCGTGAATGTCCCGCTTTCATAGATGTTTACTTAAATTACGGTTAAAGTCTCTTTAAGAAGCTGAAGACTCAAACCAAACTCTTATTTTCTACTCCCCTACCCAGACCATCCTTACAACCTTGAAGTGAAAGCATTAAGATCTTTTTTAATGTAATAAAATTCATAGTTTGAGTCGAATATTTAGTTTCTTTCACTTTGTTATGAACACTGTTCTGTACAATTAAATGCGAGGAGAACTAAGGAGTGGAATTTTACTATAACGTAATAGGATTATTAAGGTCGAGAATGATCCCTTGAAAATAAGAATATTCTTATCTCAAGGGTGTTAACTCCAAAAGGGTCAGGGACCTAAATATTCTTACAAAACCTAGAATTTTATCTAATCATCGATTATAAAACTAGTCTGTAGGAAACACATATATTTGGAAGAAGAATTAATGACCTTACAAAAATTAGGTATGCCAAATGAGTGAAGAGATAAGAGAGGTCAAATATCTAGAATGTGATATTATATATTTTCTACAACTGGAGTAAATGACCAATTGGAAAACATCTTTCTTCAGGGATGTTAAGGGATCCTTTGGATACGAAATACAAAACCTTCAAAAATAGACTAAATTTATAAATTTTATGTTTTCTGGAAAAATTGTAAAACTTAACCTCTGAATGGATATTTCATGCAACAAAAGGCCGTTAGATGGCATTCAAAACCCAGTTGTGAGAATGTAGCATGCCGTGCCAGTACGACTTTAGGCCTAGTTAGCCAAGCCCGTGAAAGCTGATGAGCAGTTTACATATATCTAGTCTGTGTATGGGACAAGAGGTTTAGGACAAAAGACAATTGATAAATGGGACAAATGATGTTTTCGACAAACGACAAATGATAGGTGAAGAAATATAAGTAAGACATAAAATGAGTTCAATATTGTTTTGGATAAAAACATCAGAGTGAGCTTAAAGTGACTGTAAGCTTAATTTCAAATGACCTTCCGTACAAAGATGGCAATACCTAATTCACACCTTTAACTAACCAATAATACAAAACTTGTCCTTTTGTAGTTTTCCTTGATAAAAGATATTGACATTTTTCTAGGTTAATAAGTTTATAATTCCGATAATTACAATATGTTTTTTTTCTGCAGGAGAAATAAGTAATTCACTTGTAGGGAAATCACAATTGAAAAGAACCAGTTAAAAGAAACAAAAACATTAATATCTAATTCAAACTTGATCAGACAAAGCTTTCCAGGGTACTGTTGTAAATCGAACATTGCCAGGGTCACTTAAAATTATGCTAGTCCCTTTAAACCCTCTCTATTCTGCCCTCTCCGAGTTATGTCGGATAAAGTTCAAAAAGAACGTATCTAGCATGAACTGGGCTTATGGTAAAAAATGGTGCGAGGTGAATATGAGTACGAATACAAACTTGGGCTTAGAAACGTTTACAATTATATTTCTGATCTTCAATCTGTAGTTTTTCAATCTTAAAATTAATAAATTTTATTTTTCTCTCTAAAACTGATCTGCGGATCTATAAAAATGAGACGGAGTAAAAAATTAACGAAATAAAACATTTTAGAAACAATTTAGAAAATCTTTAATTTGGATGTATCCTGAAATTACGTTGACAGTCCCTTTAAGGAATGAATCATCCTGATATCAAAATAATGAATGATGTCACCTTTTATCAAATACTTTTTTTGGTCAGTTTGGTTGTTAATTGGTGATATCATCTAATACAGTGTGTCCCAAATAAACATGGGAATAAAGAGACGAATTCGAAATCGTTTTTGTAAATAATCAGCGTTGTCTTACCTAATTTTAATAATTAAAATAAAGTTACATCTTACAAGCAAACAAATATGAACGCTAGCAGAAGGATTATAGCTTTCCTTTAAGGCATCACATTATTAAATCAAAAATCATTTACATAGACGATATTAAAATCGTCACTGAATTATCATGTGTATTAAGACACCCTGTATTTTCACAACCCTGAAATTGGTCCCCAACCTGGTCCACTTTCTGATCGATATATTCCAACAAAAAGTATACAAAAGTAGCACTAACAAAAAAGGCGGGTTGGTGTGTAGTAAATGACCTAACATTTGGATTTTAAATGTTTTAAAAGGATAAGATATTTATCTATCAAGAGCATTTTAACATTAGAACTTCAGTGGTATGTTATCTATAGTAAGAAAAATTGCCCTTCCACCTTCCACGTAGGGCTGATTATCGTTTTGGTTCGTTTTTTACCATTAAGTACTTTTAATAAAACATTTCAAAGCTGTTGAAAGTTTGCGTATATAAAACTTTGCAATATTTTTATCCTGGAATAAAATATAAAGGAAAAACGAATTAACAAAAAACGCTTTATTTTTTTGCAAATATTTTCTCACAAGGTCCAAACTTGGCAAAGCGACAGAAATTGGTAAAAAAAAAACAATAAAATAACTTTGTATTTGAGATAATTTTACCCTTTTACTTGAAAAAGAACATTAGTCACACATCCGGGATTTTTTCAGAAGCTGCACCAGAGGGGGAAAAAGACCTCACCTGCACTGCATTACAGGGGGTAGAGCTATCCTTGCACATACTGGACACTCTAGACTATGCTTGATATCATCAGGTAGAAACCCTAAAAACAATTTCATTACTTCCTCCTTCTCTTAAAGGGACCGTAAGCATAATTTAAATTTCAATTGACCCTCAATGCAAATACGGCAAGGCCCGATTCACAACGGTACCATCACAACATTTATCTGATCACTAATGTGGAAGACATTGTCTTTTTCTATGTTTAAAAGTATTTAATTCAGAATATTTCGATAGGTCCTGCTGCAGTAGAAATGCGCAAGGCATTTATGTAGAGAACCTATAATTGAAAATAATCATTTATCAAAATTTCAAGTATTAGCATCTAATTTATACTTGATATACAAAGCTTTCAAGGGTACGGTTGTGAATTGGGCAATGCCTTTTCATGGAGGGTCACTTGAAATTAAGCTTACAGTCCCTTTAACATCATCCCCCTATCCTATTTCTCATTAAATTTCTAACCAATTTATACATATATTGAAGACCAAAAATGAAACGAAAGTAGAAAAAAAACCTCTCTACAAACACAGGGAAGGAAGTTTCAAACTGTGATTTGGTCCAGACCTAACACTCAGTGTCAGGTTTGGGCCAAATGTGCAAAGTTATCTTGTTTCATTGTTAATATTAGTCAATTTTAGTCGAGAAGTAAAAAACCGTCTGGAAACTTTAATTTATAATAGTTAAAACTACATTTTTATAACAAAAATTAAGGTAATAAACCCCTACAAATAAATGAATTTAAATTTTTGATGATAATTGATGATTGATTTAGAACATGTAACATTTTTGAAGCAAATGCAAACTTTGGGAGCTTAAGACGTTTTGGAACATGTTTCGATTTTGAAATATTTAACAGATTTGAATCAATGATATTTTCAAGCATTTACACAATTTGGAAACAAAACAAGTTTTGCGCATACAGCAGTTAAATGACAAAAAAGGAAATCATACGTGATAATACATTCTGAAAACTTTAGAATAGGATATCCTTAATACCGATCTGTTAACTAATCTGAGCTGAAAACTTTAGAATGGGATATCCTTAATCCCGATCAGTTAATTAATCTGGAGATTAATAACAAGAGGAGAACAAGCAATATTTAATCTAGAGATTAAGAAAAAGAGTGGATCAAGCATTAATCCCTATATCCACCATTCAAAAGTTCCCAGCTCTGGAGAGTGGAGATTTATAACATGAGGAGAACAAGCAATATTTAATCTAGAGATTAAGAAAAAGAGTGGATCAAGCATTAATCCCTATATCCCCATTCAAAAGTTCCCAGCTCTGGAGAGTGGAGATTTATAACATGAGGAGAACAAGTCATATTTAATCTAGAGATTAAGAAAAAGATGAGATAAGGCATTGATCTCGATATAGCTCTGAGACCGAATTTAAATAATTTGAGCCGCCGCGGCCCAAATATGGGTTGTTCCACTTAAAGTATTTAATGTTTCAAGATTTAGTCGGCGTTCAATTGAAACTGGTTTTTGGGCATTTGAAACACCGCTCAAATTCATAAAATTCGGACTCTGATCTGATATTTTAAAATATAATGAATTAAAACATTGAAAATCTAATATTAATATTATATTTATCTTACAATTAAATTGAAAAGAAAAATGCGGAGTATTTTTTATTGAAAAAGATAGAAACTTGAAATCATCATATTTAAAATTATAATGTGCAAACAAATTTTAGAATAATTTAGAAGATACAAATATTTTCAGTAATTGATGCTATTCTGTAAATTATAAAAGATCGAATGTTTTGTTCTGAATTGTTGAATATTTCCAAATTATGGATTGTTTAAAAATTGGTTAAACGCGCCTAAGATTCGAATTCCTGATATGTGCGAAAATGGAAAACATGGAATTGTGTCAAAAATGAGTTTTAATTGAAAATGAACGATCACTTACAGTTTAAATTTAAGAAAGAAGTAAATAGCGTTATTAGTAGTTTTCGTCGTGCTTAATACAGGGGATATTAGTTAAAAAACTAACACTTGGCCTATTTCTAACACTGAATGTTGGAAATGAGCCAAATCTGCAAAGTTCTCTTTTTCAAGAGTAGAAATCCAAGAGGAGTAGAACGAAATTACACCATATATTTATAAAAAAAATCGCTAAAATTATATATCGAAACAATAAACATCAATTTTAAACTAATAATAAGGTGTGAGAATTAGTTTTAGATGATCCTTGATTTCATTTTCAAACAAATCCCTATTTTGAAACAATTACCGGATTTCAGCTCATGTCGCGTTTTCGGAACATATCCTGGTTTTGAAACAATTATCAGAATTTATATCAATGTCAATTTTTATGCATTTACACACTTCCGTACCAAAACAAGATTTTCGATAAGGTAAAATATAAACAAAATAGAGAATAAAAACAAACAGTTGTTTTATAATTTTAAAAATCATTACAGCATTGAGAAATCAAAATATTATTAATAATTGTTCTTACATATAGATTTAACTAGAAATGCGGGAAACTGTTTGTTTAAAATGCTTGAAAATAAATCTATCAATATACTCTAAGGTAAAATGTGGAAACTTAGATTCTGGAAATAATTCAGAAGTTACGTTAATTTAGTCTTCATAAAATAATTTTTGTTTTCAGTGATTAATTTTGTAAGTTATGAAAGTGAGCTTTGTTCTGAAAGGCGGATTATACTCAAAAACGGGAAAGAGGGTTTTGTCTCGAAACGCGACAATGTTTCAAATTCAGGATATGTTCGAAAATGGAAAACCTGACAATGTCTTGAAAACGTCAAGAGATTTGATACAATAAGAACTCCTATTATAATTGTTATCCTTAAAAAGTTTAAAATTAGGAATTGTTGTCCTCGTCATGTTTAACAAAATGTTGGTTATAGTTTTTACTTTCGACTTTTACTCTGGATATGGTTTGGGATCTCAAAAACCCAGACTTTAAATTTGTGCCCATTTCTAACACTCAGTGTTAGAAATTAGCCAAGTGTTAGTTTTGCAACTAATATCCCCTGTAATGATATGTTGGAAACATTTTCTTTAATTGATATTTGCTCTTGGCACAGGAAGAGTTACTAAACGTTTATCATAATATTTGTGCCCAAGGTTTGAAACAAAGGCACGGTTTGGAACTTTCTTCCCTTGAAACAATCCTTACCAATTTTTAGTAACAATTTTAGCTTTTCGAGTCCCCATTTGTTAATTGCACTCCAATTAACAAATATTTTCGCGGATTTTGTGTTTAACTTGAGAAATTTTCAAAAAGAATATAACTGTCGACCTTATTTTCCTAGGCAACCTTTTTTAATTTTGACTATCCTTAAACCTACCCTGAAGTGAGCTACCAAAATAGTTAGGGTATAATCGGTTCAGCGTTAAGACGCTAATTGAATAAAAACAAACAACCTTGCCAACTTGCCAAGTTTATTACTATTATTAACAATTCACCTACAGACAAAGTACAACGACCTATAGGATGAAAAACAATAAACATATATTGATTTGAAAAACATAATTAAACTGAAACAAAAAAAAACGTAGCTTACTATTCAAAAAGAGAAAATAAATAAAAAATTTAAAGATGCAAAGAGTAAAACTGAAAAGTCCTGCAATGTTTGGATGACATTAAAGGGACTATAAGCGTAATTTAAGTAACCTTCTTTTTCAAAAGAAACTTCCAGATTCACAATGGTACCCTTTTAACCTGTAACTGCTCATCGAAGAAAGAAAACTTCTAATAAATGCTGTGTAAAACCCCGTACTATGTTATTGTGAATATCTATATTCTACCACTATTATTATTCCTAAAATATAATAAAACAGTTTGCTAACAAGCGTATTTATTTATGGATAAATAAGGAAATTGCGTTTTCCTATATTAATCTAAGGTTTAAAGGGAACCGTTATGTATCGGAGATACCCCTCTTAAATTGGAAGGTCACTAGAAATTACGCTTACAATCCCTTTAAGAAATAATAAGGTGGTGATGCATACCTCCAGCTGTATCCCGTTCAGACTGGGAACTAGGAGGGTCAACATCAGCCTAGACCAATAAACATCGTATATCTTTAGATATTAAAATAGTAATCTGTGTTTATTTCTTTGATTGGATGCCCGATCGTAACTCAGGATTCCTGAGTCAGGAACCCCTGGACCGATTTGCCTCAAATTTCGATTGGGTAACTCGGTGGAACCACGACAATGTTCATAGTCTGATTTATAAGTTCCAGATTAAGAAAATTGACTTTTCTAGCGAAAACTTAGTTCCAGACAAAGCTGGGTTCCCAAGCTAGTATATTTTCAGACAGAAAAAAGAATTAAAAATGTACTAGCTGGGAACCCAGCGTTTGCTGGAAAATAAATTTTCCCCATTGAAGTCAACCTACTCAACTTAGAAGTTTTGAAACCAAACTAAGAACATTCTCCAGTTCCCCTGATGAAAGGATGAAATGAATGAGAAGATTGGGTGAAAGCTGAAAGATGAATAATTTAAATCTATATAATAAAACAAGACATTCGTATATATATATAATATATATAATATCTGCTGCCAGTGCCTATAGCCGGCCAAACGGCTGGACCGATTGGGCTGAGTTTTTTTGTGGACACTCAAGGGTGGCCGGGGGATGCTAAAGGCTAAAGAAAATTGGAAAAACAATTTTTTTTTAACATTTTTTATTCCACGGGCAACGCTGGGCCCTTCAGCTAATATTGAATAAATAAATAAAAGAATGAAAGGATGAAATGATGAATGAAAGGATCAGTAAATGAATGAAAGAATGAAAGGATGAATAAATAAATGAATGAACCTGTACACCGGATTCTCTGGTAGTAAATATAACTAGATCAGCTGCTCTCTCTTCTCTAGGGTTTCCAACTAGATCCTCAGCTTCCCCCGTAGTTCCACCTATGTATACACAATACACACTCAATTAATCATTCAATCGGAGTTCTAGGGACTTCCTACTAGCCACATAGAATGCTCAAGATGAACTTACTAAACCACGAAAGAGATATGGACGTATAACTTTGTGATAGGTGTCTTAAAGTAAAAGGAAAAAGCATTTAATTTAAGTTGCTATTTTCGTTGTGTTTTTGATATTTTTTAGCTGAGACCTATCGCAATTAAATCTGAATTAAAGAGACTGTTCACGTAATTCAAAAACTTTCCACATTCAAATGTTTAAAAAGATACCCTTTAATCTGTGTACCAATAGGGAAAATATCATAGTTTTTCTATTTCTTGAAAGAAATAAATCAAGTCAATCAAGAAACCGCAATAAAAAAGTTTGTGTGTGTGTCCAGAGAGAAACATAAATTTAAAGACAGTTTACTTAATTTTGTATAAACAACAGTGCCATTTTGAATTTTATCTTAGTAACAATAAAAATAATATCCTTTTTTCGATTATGAAAATAAGTGAAAAAATCCGTTTAAAAATCTGTCCACGTTACCAGCACATTCCTAAATTTAGTTCATTCATTTCACTCACCTTGATGATGTATTCCCCCCTGTTGAAGACCACCTCCTCCTGCTACTCCATGAACAGGACCTTGTCCAGGATGATGACCAACTCCATGTGTAACTCCTTGAGCAGGATGATGTACTACTCCGTGAACTATATCACTGTCTAGTGTGGCATTCTGTGTAACGGAATGTTGATGCGATGTGTTTTCTCCTGAACGACATTTCAATCAATGAATTATCATAATTTCAAACATCATTGTATCAATTCCCTAGGATTCCTATTTCCTATAAAATTTCTCAAATATTTTTCATTTCTGATTGTTTGTTAAAATTTCAATGTGACTCTCCATGCAAAGATTGTAATGCCCGCCTCTCAACGGTACCATTGAAACTTTTATCTGATCAATAATCTGATAAGATATTGCTGTTTTCTAGGTTTTAGAGTGTTAAATTCTGATAATTCCTGTTTATATTCCTGTTGTAGAAATGAGCTATTCATATTATTAGGGAAAACACAATTGAAAATAACCAATTTTTAAAAATATACATGTTAACATCTAATTCATACTTGATCAGACAAAGCTTTTAAGGGTACCGTTGTAAATCGTGCATGGAGGTTCACTTGAAATTACGCTTACAGTCCCTTTAAGCTTGTATTCATGATCAAAAAATTCTTAATTGGCTGTATCAAACCATTAAACCCTATTTAGGCGGAATATCTGGTGAAACGACTGACACTCTGGACTATGGAGTGCTTGCGGAATTTAGTTGTCCAGTTTAACGGATTTGTCATTCAGGGTTTAAATGGAAAATTGAGTTTTTTAATAAAATTAACAAAATATAAGGCAATTTTGTTATTGTTGTCGAAATAAATGAGTTCGCTTTGAAATAATGAAAATTGCCCAAATGTATGATTTGACCAGAAAAAAAGTTGTTCAATTGTTTCCACGCTTTAAAATAGCCAAGTTTTACAACTATCATGAATTTTTTTCAATTACATTTTTTTAAATATTAACTTGATCTTTTCGATAATTTTTTTTAAAAAGTGTTCAAGTTAATAAATAATTTTTAATAAAAAAAACTTAAAATTCCGATAAGTTACCAGGAAAAACTGATAAATATTTCTTAAGAAAACATTATTTAAAAAGAGGGCTTGCGAATAAATAAGTATTAACCCTCTATGGCCATTGTTTGAAATGTTCCTGAGGTTTGATGAGCAATATTACCAGTGAATCCATTTCCACCAGGCTAAACATGGAATTGATTATTAAGCATAGCTTTATAAAAAGCTAGGTGTTAGTTATGCATTTATGCAACAGTTCAAATTCAAATTCAAATTCAAAGAAAAAATAAAATCAAGGGATTCAATGATTGGAATAAGCCCTAAATTTTATTTAAGCATCCCTTAAGATTTTAATTTCTATTTCTTTAAAAATACTTTGTATGCAACAATTTTTATTAAATCCTGCTAATCTAAAAACGTATTTATGCAGGTCAATGTTAAACGCAACTCTTTTCAAAAGATTTAATCCCCCCAAGGGTTTCAATAATTGGGATACGCCCTCACGTTTATTCAAGCATCTTTTAGGATTTAAATTTTTACACGAATGTCATTTGAATTCAATGGAAAAAAAATCCCCAAGGGGTTCAATGAATATCGTAGAATCCCTTGTGCGGGTTAGATTCTTCTTGGTTCTACTTTTTCTGTGAGTAAATGATACATATATGATGGGTTAAAGGTATATACAATTTCTTTAATTAACAAATATATTAAAAATAATAACAGTGTTTTATTAATAAATAAAACACACTATACATAGTCATAAACAGAAAAACCCGGATTTAATTGACAGTAACAAGGGACTTTACTATATCTCTGACAATTTTAAAAGCTCAAAAAACTATTTTGTGATTATCATGTTGTTAATAATATTTGTAAAATTAAACTGTAACGTCGTCTGATTAATTGCAAATTAATTCCGGGTCTTTCTGATTTTGGTTGAATTAAATATACAAATATATTTGGTTGAATTAAATATACAAATATATTTGATTGGTTAAATCAAGTTTACCTGTAAATGTTCAGCTTCCTGACTGTGCTGTCCCTCTGCTGGGAAAAGTGGACTAAAACAATACAATTATCAGACCTATTTCCAAAATGATGAAGACGACATTTAAAATTACTTAAGAGGCGTGGAGACTTTTTGCCACATAGCATACCGCATAAAAATGAAAATAACCAACAGTAAAAGAAAGTACATGAATTTATAAAATATGAAAAAAATAACTAATTAGAGCAACATGTGTTTAGGAGTTTTGACGTTGGAACTTTTGTATGAACAACATCAACACAATAATAAAAACGATGTAATCCGTTAAAAAAATATAATCCGTTTGAATAGACTGATTTTTCTTCGCAAACTCTTGTTGGCACAGAGAAGATTTATTGGAGACTTCGGATTGGTCTCACCTTTAGAAATAATAAAAATAACAAAACCTAATCCGTCAAAATAGATATGGAAGTACTTAAAACCACATGATTAAAAGAAGTTTAGACATCTGAACAAACACAAGACAATTAGGAAGCTTGAAGAATATGAGCCCTTTTGTCAAGAATAGAAAAAAAAGAAAAAATTTAAGAGATTTTTACCTATTCTGTAGAGAGGGGTGTTGAGATGAACGAGGATTGGTTGAGGGAAGGTATGGAGGAAGGGAGTATGAGCTGGTATTGGATGCTGTGAGGGATAGGGAGGAGGGTATAGTGGAGAGGGGTAAGGAGGGTATGGTAGAGAGGGGGCTAGCAGAGTGGCAGGTCATCAAAGGAGGTTCGCTTACACTCAATGTAGACTGGGACACTAATCAACAATAGACTATTGAACACAAAGAAATTTTTTAAAATTTGCCATTTAATTCCCATTTTTTGACGCAATAGAAAAAAATGCTACTGACTAAAATGTTTGAAAATTCAAAATGAACACCCCTTTAAAAATAAAAGAAAGTAATATCCTGTTTTTAGGCTGAACCCCACATATACAGAATATTGACAAATGAGCGAATTATTATTATTATTAACAGCATTCAATGAAATAGGAGTAGACGCACCATGGGTACAAAGCGGACTGCCTACTTTTATTCAACAACAAATTTATGTCAAGTATTTTTATTCGACAACAACTCGATGTCAAGTACTTTAATTCGATAACAAATTTATGTCAAGTATTTTTATTCGACAACAAATTTATACCGAGTACTTTTATTCGACAACAAATTTATACCGAGTACTTTTATTCGACAACAAATTTATGCCAAGTACTTTTATTCGACAACTAATTTATGCCAAGGTAATCCATTAGGTTGTTTCTATAGTAAATTGCCTGTTTGTTGGTTGAGGTTTACTTGAGCTAAGTGAAGAGCATGACCCGGAGTCAGATATCCGTCCTAAGAACATTTGATTTCTTAAAGGGACTGTAAGACTAATTTCAAGTGACCCTCCATGTAATTATGGAAATGACCCACAATATTGATCAGATAAAGGTTTCAATGGTACCGGTGTGAATTATGCATAGCCATCTTTGCATGGAGGGTCACTTGAAATAACGCTTAGAGTCCCTTTAATCTTGGTTTTAATATAACTTGTCAAGTTGTCGTGTGGGGCAAGAAAATCGAAATGACAGTTAAGTCGTATAAAAGTTTGTAGATTTTCAGGGATTCGATTATAAACCTTCTCCTGTTTATCAACTGTTCCCTTTTCTTTAAATGATCCAGTTCCGTTTGCGTTCCCCCTCTCTTTTTCACGCCTGTTACTGCTACCCTTTCTTGCTCCCCTTCCTGCTCCTTTCATGCCCCTTTCATGCACGCTTTCTTACTTTTTCTACCTTTTCCAATCCAAACTAACAAGTTATTGTTCCTTTCCTATTTCCTGTATCTACTCTTTATCCTGTTCCTGTTTCTTTACCTGTTCCACCCAATTTTGGTTTGGTTCCATCGGCTGATCCTGGTCCTGATCCGGATCCTGTTCCTGTTCCCTGGAACTATTAGAAGATCTCCGACCAAGAGGTATACTACTTTCATCCTGAAATTTCAAGGAATTTGCCAATTTTTAAAGGAACAGATAAATCGCCAGATAGTATAATTTAAGGGCTGTATTGTATATTCTTACTTAGAGTTGATTTCATACCAACAAGTGAAGAAAATTTCTCTGTACAGAAATATAATTCACTAGCTTGGGAACCCAGTATTGCCCAGGGGAGTTAGAGTTTACCCACTGTTTACCAGTCCCTTCTTCTATATATAAATTTGGCTTGTCTGTCTGTCTGTCTGTCTGTTTGTTTGTATCCAATAAACGTCAAAACGGCTGAACCGATCGGGCCCAAACTTTTTGTGGGACATCTAGGGACTCCAGGGAAGGTTTATGAATGATTGAAATTTTAAATATTTGTCTCCATCAAAATTGATCTTCATTAAATTTTTGAAAATTTTGAAAATCCACGAAATTTTTTGTGAAACTCCGCGAATTATTTTTGTTTTGTTTTACGATGTACACAAAGAGAACATGTTCACAATTAATTTAGAAGATGGGCGCGAAGCGCCCTCTAAGGCTAGTGTTGTAAATTACGATTATAGCTATTTTACCCGTTAATAGTGAACCCAATCAACTTAGAACCTCAAAACCAAGCTAAGAACTTTCCCGTAGGTCTCCCAAGTTCCCCAATCAAAATTTGAGGCAATTTTCAAGGGATTCCTGAGTTATGATCAGACAAACAAACAAACAAACAGTGATTACAACTTTATATATATGGTTGGAAGAAAATGTAAATTTCAAGCCACTTACTCTGAAGAAAAAGTGTACATGCGGGCAGATGAGATTTTTCTACTTTTTTACACTTAAGTTTCAATTTGAGGGTTTCAAATTTCTTAATTTCTTTCCTTTTTTGATTTAGGTAAAAATGAGGGGGGGGGAAGCGAACAAGAAGGGCAAAGGTGAACAATAAGCCTTTAAAGGAATCAACACAAGGGAAACCAATAATGGAGAAAAGGGGGGGGGGGGGGGGGGGAAAGGGAGAAAATTAAATACAAAATTTTTTACTAAAAAGTAAATATATTCCTACAATTCTAAAGGATGTTTCCACCTAGACAACAACTAAATCAAAACTAACTATTTGAACAAGTTTCTGAGTTTAAAATCTGTTAGATAAACTATTATGTAATTAGCAATATTGCATCTTATATGATTCAATCACAGTTGACATATCAGACATCAGTAAGAAATGTACAGGGTTACCCACAAAATATTTAGACTCTAATTACTACTTGAAACTCTTTGAATTTGAATGAATGATTTGGAAAAGAGAAAAAGTTTACAATTGCAGGGAACCAATAAGGCTAGAACATAACTGTAGTCTGTTGATCGAATCGAACACTTAAATAATCAGTTTGATCATACTTCAAAAAATGATTTTAAAAGAGACTGAAGAACAACTGAGATTCATTTCTGGAGAATGATTGATTGATTGATAAAAGATATCTCAGATTGATATCTGGAAAAGGATTGGTTGAAAGATACATGAAATTGATATCTGGAGAAGGATTGATTGATTGATTGAAAGATACCTGAGATTGATGTCTGGAGAAGGATTGATTGATTAATTGAAAGATACCTGAGATTGATTGCTGGAGAAGGATTGATTGATTGATCGAAAGATACCTGAGATTGATATCTGGAGAAGGATTGATTGATTGAAAGATACCTAAAATTGATATCTGGAGAAGGATTGAATGATTGATTAAGATACCTGAGATTGATGTCTGGAGAAGGATTGAATGATTGATTAAGATACCCGAGATTGATGTCTGGAGAAGGATTGAATGATTGATTAAGATACCTGAGATTGATATCTGGAGAAGGAATGTCCTGAGCTGAGCCCGGGGAGAGGAGACAGAGCAGCGCTTAGAAATTTAACATTATTAATTTCAGGGATATTAATTCAAAATCCCCTCCTCCCCCCTCCATTCTTTCTTCTATGTGGACGATTCTTAAATCATGCGATCATGAACCCGTCCAAAATCTTTGTGTAATCAAGAATTAATAATAAATGACTAATGAGTATGCTCTCTTTAAAAAATGAGTTATTTTCAAAATACCTGGATGTGAGAACACTTGGTGAATCTTCAACATTGGTCAGCTGTCGTTTTCGCCCTTTAGATGGGCTTCGTAGTGAACTTTCCTGATGCCATCCATGTCCACTCTGAATAATAATTATATAAACAACTTTAAAGAGGTAAATATCAAATAAACACCCTGCCCCCCCCCCCCCAGGTAAACAAACATTTTTGACTTTTCTACGATATGGGAAAATTGAAAACTTTATCTTTGGGACTTTATTTATACAATTCTCTTAAAAATTATTTTCTCCACAAGGGATGACACTAAATATATCTACAGACTACAATTCGAAATTCCAATGGTAATTTTAGAATTTCAGCCCTCTGCTGCTTATCGTTAAGAATTCTGAGTCTAAAACTAAAGAACGAAAAGTTACGACTTAAATGTTAAGTTACAGCTTAAATGCCACTTCCGGCTTAATTTAAACCTGAATTTTAACCCTGGGTTTAAATATTTAGCTCGCCGAAATCGACGAGTTAAAATTTTAACCCAGGGTTAAAATCTTTAAATTCCGCATTTTCCCAATTTTTCAATCAATTATCATTTATCTGAGAAAGCAGTGAAAACCTTGATTAAATAAATTTCACGTTTTAGATTAATTATTGTTTGCACATAAACCCCCAAACGGTTGTAACTGGAAATATGTTTTGTTTTCTGTAACATAAAATTTAAAATTAAAAGACAGTTGATCTGATGAGCAATGGTTAGTGGTTACGTAATTTATCTCTCGCCTCGCGTTGATTCTATATTTTACAGAACTTTTAAGCTATAACTTAAATTTCGCGCATTCTTAAGTTTTGGACTCTGTAAGATATCAAATCACAAATGCATTCCTAAAATCAAGAAAAAATACAATATTTCTTTTTAATTCAGTTTTTATTTGGAGAATTGGTTCGAAAGTTTTCCAATATTCTCAAAAGAGGAATGTTTTTCAAGAAAATAAATACCTTTACCTGAAATCCACTCCGTCCTCCTCGAACTATTGACCTTGTCCTAAATATTAATAGTAATGACAAAGTAATCTAAAGGAACTGTCAGCGTTATTTCAAGTGACCCTACATACAAAGTTGACAATGCCCGTGTTACAACGGTTCCCTTAAAAGCTTTGTCATTTGCAGGTTCTCTGCGAAAGTGATTTGCGCATATTTTGCTTATAAGAAACATTACAATGGAAAACTCACCGAAATGAACACTTGTCGAGTAAGAAAAACGACGGTATCTTCCACATCAGGGTAAGGTTTCAAGGGTACTGTTGTAAATCAGGCATTGCCATCTGTGCATGGAGTGCCACTTTAAATTATGTCACTAAATCCGGATTAAAGTATTCTTTTAAAATTGAAGGAAAAAACAAACAATAATTTAACAAAAGTAATAATAGACAGATCCACCACGGTGAGTTAAGAAAAAAAATATAAAAAAGTAATTCAAATACATTCTAAAAATGATAAGTCTAAAAATTATTTTACTTTTAGAAAACACACCTGAAGTTTTTTAAACTTCATACAATATTTGTATGAATAATCTCAAATAAACTTACATACCTAACCATTTAAAATCTAGCTGAGCTGATACATTGATAAATTATTTTCTGAAAAAAGTTAAAAATAAAAAAATATTTGATCTGTGGTGGGTTTAAGCTGAGGACTTCTTCTTCTTCTTGTTAAACCGTTTATCCTTCCTGGCCTTGTCCTCTATAATCTGAACATACTTCCGCTTGTTGTACCGCTTAAACTCAGCATCCGCTAGCAGTTCATCTACCATAGTCCGCTTACGGTCCTTAACGAAAAAAATTAAAGAAAAAATAAATTAATTTTGTCTAAATTCAGGGGAAAAAACATGAAAAATGTAAAGAAAAATTAATAAATGTAAGGTTGTATTGGTCTCAAACCACATTGTAAAAAACTTGGTTTGAACAGAAAAAAAATACTTTTTTTTAGAAGATTTTTAGATGATTCACCTGAAGTTCAGAAAAAAATTAAACAATTGAGGGTTCTGTTCTTTAAAACAAATTTGTTGAGAATTGTAAAATATAAGGTCATTTCTGTTTATAAATTTTTTTATAAGCGTGTCATCAATTTGATTTGAAACATATCCTTTAAAAGAATATGACGGAAGTTGTTAGTGATCAGAGCTCAGCCATATCTTGTTTGAGATAAAAAAAGCTTAGAACTTTATTGTATACTAGGCTTTTACTTCGCGCCCACTTTTTATTTCAACTTTTAATTGTGATTTTATCTGTCAGCATCTTCACTTTGTACAGTATCAAACAAAAACAAAAAAGTTTGCACATTTCAAAATATTTTTTCGCTCATTTTCAAAATTTTACAAAAATAAGAAACTTTTAACACAAATTTTTAAATTTTGATCATTCGTAAACCTTCCCTGGGGTCCCACACAAAATTTGGGCCCGATCGGTTAAGCCGTTTTGACGTTTATTGGATACAAACAAACAAACAAACAAACAAACAGACACCCAAACAAGCTTATAAAGATATAGATAGATATTAGATATGTATCATATTTGAGATGAAAACTTTGGAAGTGTCTCCTTAAATTCCGTTGACAGTCCCTTAATTTAAAGTTTGATAATAAAAAACTGACCTTTTTAGGTATTCTATCACTGTAGAAGTCGTATGGAGAGTCTACAACGGTTCCGATTTGGAAATATTTTGGAAGGTTTTTCAAATCACTCTTTTTGTAGAATCTAAAAAATTTTTCATCAAATTATTGATTTCATTTAGTATGACATCAGTTGAACATTGACACCCTCTACTCCAAAGTGAAATTGACAGGATAAATCTTAACAATTCGTAAAAGAAATTTACAGGAGAATTTTTACCAAAAAAAATGTTCAAAAAAATGTGTTACAATGCAATGAGTACTTTTCAAGATACAAGTTCATTTTCCTGTAAAAATTTAAAAATAAATACAATATAAAAATTCTTCGTACATTATAAAAAGATTCCGCAGATTTTCTGATTTCCTTGGCGGATTTCTAGATAAAAATGGAACTTACCGTTTAGGATCTAGAGCCCCTCTCATCTGCAGTAGTTCAAGATCCTGTCGTCTTTCATCGGTCAACTCAAGGGCAGGTAGTCCAAACCAATCCTTACCTAAAATATTTAGGTTAATTTATTATAAGTTCAAACGGGTCATTTACTTCTGTGAGGCCATATATAAATCTGAGTTGATCGCAATAATTAAAATTTTTTACTTTTTTACAATTTTTGTGCATTATTTTTTATATGAAAAACTAATTACTTTTAATTTCGTTCTAGCCTTTTTGAAGTAATGTATTACTTGGAATATTTTAGGAAAATTTAATTTTACCTTTAGTTTTCTCCCTTTCTTCTTTTCTTAACAATTTAGCTTTATTCTTTCCGATTCTTTCTTTAATAACGGACGGGGCTGCGGCACTGAAGTCCTCCTTAAATATCATGATTAATATTAAATAACAACCCAACACAGAACGCTCCTGGTATGAACAATGTCCGTCTTAATGATGTGGGGGACGATAGTTCAGCCGCTAAATGTGTAATAGTCTTGACTGATAAGATAGATAATTTGGAAGCACATAGTCAGAGACGTCATCTGGTCTAGACTGTTTTAGTATTGAGAAGAAACTTACACTATTTCTGAAATTAAATGATATAAAAGATTTGAGAGAAAAAATTTGAGTGCACTTTCCAAAAAAATTATTTCTTCCCGATTTTGTCACCAGTGAAATTCAGTGTTTAATAAAAAATCATCTAAAAATACAAGATTTACAAACGCGATAAAATCATCTCATCCTCCCCCAATTAAAAAATCCTCGAAAATAAACATTCCTATGTGTAAAGAATACACATTTCTATGTACCTGTGAATCTATGTTTGGTTTAGTGTGCACAATAATATTGTTTTCTTCTTTCATGTATTTATCATCATCCAGCTCTGCATCCAGTTCCACGCTAAACATTGCTTATCAATCAATCCATCAATCCACCAAGAAATTCACCAATCCAACAGATAATCAATTATCAGTCTTCTAATTCAACACTCTTTTAATCCAACAATCAATCAATTCATAAATTTATCAAATCAATAAATCATGTATCAATGTATCAATGAATCAATCTATCAATGTAATAATGTATCAATGAATCAATGTATCAATGAATCGTATCAATGAATCAATGAATCAATGTATCAATGAATCAATGAATCAATGTATCAATGAATCAATGTATCTGTGCATACAATTCATTCATCCATTATCAATAAATTCATGAAAACTTATCATGTTTGAATAAATAGTTTATCTACTAGCGAACCTGAACTGTGATGGGTGTTTAACTGTTGGAACTAAAACTTTAATAAAATCCTCCCAGAGCCCGCCTTTCTTTACTCCACACAGATCCTTAATTCAGGGAACATTAATTCCACTTGCCCCTTTCTAACACTGAATGTTAGAAATGGGCACAAATTGAAAGACTAGGTATTTTGGATCTCGGCCCAAAATTGAAAGTAAAAGTCAATAGAAAAAAAATTAACCAACGTAAATGCTTGAAAATGGACATTGAAACGAATTCGAGTAATTGTCTTAAGCCAAGATATGTTCCAAAACGCAACACGAGCTGAAATGCGGTAATTGTTTTAAAATAGGGATAAGTTCGAAAATTAAATCAAGTAAGGGCTGGCACAAAAAAAACAGTCAAAAAACTCAATAAAACCTACCTAAAAGTGTTTTTCTTTGTGTGTTTTATTGGGGTTTCTTAAAATTTTTCTATTTTTAAGCCTAATCTTCACTCTTTTAACTTCTACTATCATTGATAATGATTATTAGGTAGTTTGTTTAACTAAAACTGACACATGAATTCAATTATTGTGTTGTAACTAAAACCTATGATTTTTAATAAGAATATTGTTTAAATAATATTCCGAAAAAAAACTATCAAATAAATTTAACTATTTATCCTTGTCACTCAGGTGAGTCACCTCCTCTTCTCCAAGCTATGAAGTAGAGGTATTAGGATGCTTCATCTGTAAACAAGACCAGACAAATCCCATTGTAGAAAACAATTGTAGAAATTAATCATCTACAATTTTTTTGAACTTAATAAGATAAACAGTACTACAACAGAATTTTCAAATTTGTTGAGATATGATAAGGAAATGCAATCCCTTGATTATTATCATGTAAGCAAGTGAGCACAGTATTTCAGTATTTAACAATGGTCTTCCTTCTTGAGCACATAATTATTACCAACTTGTCTGACTGAGTAGCCCCCCCCCCCCCCCCCACCTCTTCTCAGAAATATGTATCCAAGTAAGAAAAAAGATCAAACCTACTCTGAGATTCCTTGAACAAAAATATTAAACAATTGCAGTATACCCCCAATGAAGAGGGGAGGAAAAATTACCATATTAAAAGATAATTTTATATGATTATAACATTATCACAAAATATTATTTTTCTTAACTACTAAGGTTCACCTATTGCCCAAATAGTCTTATTACAATGAATTAGCAAGTTTTAGTAGGTTTTAACTATTGTAAAATTGAAAAAAAAACGTTAAAAACCAATAAAACCCAATACAACCCAATTAACCCTAGTGGGCTGTTTTTTTTTCCAACCCTGAATTAAAGTTTTAAAGTTGATATTTATTGTTTCAATAAATAGTATTAGTAATTTTTAAAAAATCTATGGTGTAGTTTTTTTCAACTCGTCTTGGATTTAAAGATATAAAGATATATATATATATCGAAATATATTTATATATAACGAAATTGGCCAAATGTTATTAACGTAACATTGCACATATTTGCTCTGATAGTAAAAACAAATATGTATGTTTCAATCAATCAATCAGAAATTTAACAACAGTATCTTAAATTCATGTTAAAAGTTTTTTTAGAATAAAGGTGCTTAAAGGACTAAGCGCCGTTTCAAGGAACCCTCCATGCAAAAATAGCAATGCTTGATTCACAACGGTACATTTGGAACCTTTATCTGATCAATAACACAGAAGATATTGTCGTTTTTCTTGGAACAAAATGGGAATAATTCTGATAATTCTGCATCTTTAAATAAAGAGTCACAAGAAATCACACTTACAGTCCCTTTAAGTTGATTAAATTATAGAAGAGAAATCCTTAATAATTTGTGAGAGAAAAAATGTATCAAATACCTTGAAATTTTCTAAAATTTTCTCCATCATAGGATCTAACTTGGGTTCTTCTTCCTCTTCTTTCTCAACCTAAGCAAGATATTTAACTACAAATATTGAAGGGTGTGCAGGTACAATAAAATCAAAGTTTACGAAGATCTGGCATATTAAATATAAAAATGACTTTTTTCTTTGATCGAATTTTTTGCCTTTTTTGTTTTTGAAGTTTGATTTCTTTTTTATAAGCTTTAGGCTCTCTTTTTGTTCCATTACTACTTAATAAAAAAAAACATTACTTCACTTTATTTAATCATTAATCATTAAGCAGAAACAGAGCAGATAAAATTTTTGACGTAAAATCCCTTTTATGAATAAGAAGTCTGACATATCTTACTTTTGGGTTTGAGGGAAGAGGAATTCTAGAAACCATCTTTTCTTTCATTTTTTCTTTTTTGCCCATTTTCGTCTGAAATAAAAATATATCGGAGTTAAAGGGACTGTACACTTCTTTTCAAGCGATTCTTCATTTTAAGATTTGTCAGATTTACATTAGTTCCTTAAAATCAAATCAAAACTTGATCTAATCAACTCTGAATAAGATAGTTTCGTTTTACTTCAGTGAAAAATGTTGAATTAGGAAAATTTTATTTGTCTTCGCTCAAGTACATAGAGTCACTTTTGTAGAGAAGCCACTTAGATCAATTTTGAGATAGAAGACATCATTCTTGCTCGGATGAAGGTTTAACGGTTCCTAATTGTGAATCAGACTGCTCCTGTTTAAATTGAGGATCATTTAACATTACGTTGACAGTTCCTTTAAATCATTATTCTAACATGAGACAATTGAACAATAAACATTCAAAGCAAAAAAAAAATACGAGTATTCTGACTAGAGTTTTAATACAACATGAACTATGAACTATGTACACCGTACATGATTTTAGATAAATTTTGGTAGATTTATAGTTATATTTGGTAGATTGAGTTAAATTTTGGTAGATTTATACTGACAGTCAGTAGAGATGACGAAAAACGGGAGGGTAAAATTAACATTGCTTTTTTGGCAAGAGAAACAAATTAAGGATTTAAAAACGAAATTGATCAAATGTATAAATATAAAAGCACGAACTTTCTTTTCTTAAATATTTGGAACAAAATTCTTAATATCTTTTGGCAATTTTATGCTACAAATATGGTTAAAACGGAATATCAAATACTATTTTAAGTTCTTTTAACTATTATTATTTCAAGAGAATTCTCTCTTTAAAAATATTTCTATTTATCTGATAAAGTTAAACTATTAATATATTAAATTCTGGATTAATTTCTTGTTTCAGAGATTCAACTCTAGGTTGCTTTGAAGAGGTTTAAAGTATTCATCCACCATTGAGTCAGTCACTTCAAATAATAATACAATATTATTAATAATATCAATTCTAATTCAAGTAAAAAAAAATACAATTTTAATTAAAGTCCCATTTTCGGTTTCAAAATGCATTTATTTCATGTAGTTATATGATGACTAAATGTATATACTTGTAATTCTGTCTGTCTGTATCATATAAACGTCAAAACCGATCACTTCCAAATATTTATTGACAATTCACATATACCCTCCAGGGAAGGTTTATGGATTGCTAAGTTAAAATATTTCCCGGATTTTTTATTTAAGAAGAATATGTTTACAGAACAATCTGTAAAAAAATTTGTGAAGAAAAAATGACCGTTAAAAAGCAACATTTAAACACTTAAATTGTTGCTTGAAGAGAGGCGCAAAGCGCCCTAAAAGCATAATATAATAAACAGAACTAATTTGTTTCCATGAGTATCTTTAAAAAGTCAAGAATAGTTTACCTTCCTGAAGACTTGAAGGATTCCATTTTGGAGAATTATCCCTAAAAACGGTCAATTTTATCATATTTTCCATAATATTTGCACTTTTCATGTTAAAAAGTAGTGCTCAAGTAATTCTCTTAAAAAAAAAAAAAAAAGCACAATCAATAAGAATTAAACATTGTTACCGCGATCACTACATCTGTAATCTATATGTTACTATGAAAGAATAAATACTTTTGAGGATATGAAAAAAATTGACTTTCAGATTTTAGTCTCCTTTAGTGGTCAATAAGGTTATACCTTGAATGGATGTAGTTCCAGGGGTGTATATTTTTCAGAATTCAGTTTTTGATGATTTGGGTGTGGACAAATTGAAAAATATGACAACAAGAGCAACTTTTATATTCTTTTGATTCTATTCATCCCAAAAATTCATTAAGTTTTCCCAATTTACCAATTAGAAATTATGCTAAAAAGAGTGGAGGGGGGAGGGAAGAAACATGATTTTTCGAGAAAACATACACACCGGATATGATGAGCTTAACAAACAATCTATATTTATACCTATCGATAAGAAGCGCTCGGACTCCTTCATAAAAATCATCATTTTCACAGCAGCGCAGAACCAATCTTAACAAGAAAAATGTTTTCGAGTTAACAATATTTAACGAAAAATCAACTTTTTTCTACAAATTCCTTTTTAAATAAACAGTTGGCGCAATGTCAAATGACCTTCTATTTTTGACGTGTTCGATTTACAATAATACCATTTAACACTTTTACTACCCAAGGATGATGGACATGCTTGTAAATGTTGTTAAGTTATTTGCAAGCTGTTAAGTGTTCAATGTTCAAATTCTAAAAATATTAATATTCAATATTTTCATTTAAATGTTTAAAACCCTAGTTTGACATAGCATGTTAGGGATTAAGTCAGCTGTGTTGAGTTCACACCGTACGCTAGTGTACACTCAGCAGTACAGTCAGCTGTTTTGAGTTCACCCTGTACGCTAGTGTACACTCAGCAGTACAGTAAGCTGTATTGAGTTCACACTGTACGCAAGTGTACACTCAGCAGTACAGTAAGCTGTATTGAGTTCACACTGTACGCAAGTGTACACTCAGCAGTACAGTCAGCTGTGTTGAGTTCACACTGTACACTAGTGTACACTCAGGAGTGGTTGCTTTAAAGTTTTATATTTCACTTATGCTCTTGTCCTGGCTATTCCTTTTTTATTTTTCTAATGCTACAATGGTAAAATGTTAAAATACCTTTTTTAAGTAAAAATTGGTTCTTTATTTGTAAAAAATGCATGTGGTGTGATTGTTTCCTTAGTTAGTTTGTTTGTTTACTAATGTATAATGCATTTGCTTGTTTTATTTTTTAAGTTGATGCTATATTTAGATTTAGCATGTTGAATGAGTCTTTTTAGATGGAGAGAAGGTAGAGAATAGTAGTGGGTTGTCTCAATCTACTGAACAATAGCGTGAAGAATCATTTGCTGGAAATTAGATCCTAAATCTTCCCTAAGAGGAGATAAAGCAGGTTATCTAGTAAGTTGTTCGTACAAAATAATTAAGTTTATATCAATATTGATCTTTACTGAAAAGATCAATATAAGGAGCGTGTAAGAATGAATATTCTTCAACTCAAGAATGTAATTCAAGGAAAGTTAATTGCAGTTGCGTATACTCTGCCTACATATTGGAACCAGTTCTCTCTGGGCGGAATTTGTAAAAAAGAATAGATGCATCAGTGTACGTTTAGTATCCGAGGAGGTTAAAAGCATTGAATTTTGATAATTTTGATAATTTACATAATAGTTTCCTATGACCAGAATATTTCATTAATTATTTATGTTAAAGATGGATCCCATGTCAGGCTTCGACATCCGTCTTGTGTTCATATTACCGCCCAGTGACAGTACACTGCAGTACAAAAGATGCGTACACCTCTGAAATAACTTTCTATGCATTAAATCCTTGCTTCAACTAGTGTAATAATTTCCATTCTTTAATGCATGGATCGTGTAATAATATACATTCTTTCACGCTCTGACCGTGTAATAATTTTCTAAAGATTACAAAGGGAAAACATTTCACCTATATTCTAAATTTAGTGCTTGAGAAAGAGAGTTCAGGTTCCGACCTTCTGTAATCTGTCTAAAATTAACGAACTTATGATACAGAACATGAGGGGTAGGCAAACAAGAAAAAAATAAATTAAGAAACTTTCTTGAAAAATCACCTTAAAAAGTTCTGACATTTTGTAAATACAAGAAATGAACCTTTTTTTAAAAAAATTGTTTGTTTGGCAAGAAATCTTTTTTGTTTTATTAAAAAAATTTCGAATAAAATGAATAAAAAAATTATAATTATAAATCCTCAAATACTCAATAATCTTAGTAAAACAGTCTGTTTTTAGTAACAGTGTAGATTGTAAAAAAAAACTCAATTAATTAATAAGGAAGAGTTTAAAAACTACATAAATAAGTTAGTTTCCTATGCGCCACTTTTAAGGATCTTGGCGAGGCTCTCTTCAAAGCTTTCAGAGTTTTCAAGGCAAACTCTGAACCGTCACTTTCTAACAAGGATATCAATAGTAATTTTAAAAACAAAATAGTTTATTCCTGAACTACAATTCAATTAAAGTTAGGGTTCCATATCTACTTCCAGGGAGAAAACTAAACAGAAAATATTGAATACTTTCATATCTACTTCCAGAAGAAAACTAAACAGAAAATATTTATTACTTCCATATCTACTTCCAGGGAGAAAACTAAACAGAAAATATTTATTACTTCCATATCTACTTCCAGGGAGAAAACTAAACAGAAAATATTGAATACTTTCATATCTACTTCCAGAAGAAAACTAAACAGAAAATATTTATTACTTCCATATCTACTTCCAGGGAGAAAACTAAACAGAAAATATTAATTACTTCCATATCTACTTCTAGGGAGAAAACTGAACAGAAAATATTTATTACTTCCATATCTACTTCTAGGGAGAAAACTTACTTGCATATCTACTTCCAGGGAGAAAACTAAACAGAAAATAATATTAATTACTTCCATATCTACTTCCAGGGAGAAAACTAAACAGAAAATATTAATTACTTCCATATCTGCTGTCAGGGAGAAAACTAAACAGAAAATAATTAAAAGGACTGTCAGTGTCTATGTAAAAAAACTTATTCTAAACTAATCTACGGAATATCTATATTTTCTTTTTAAGTCAGTTCCGATATGCAGGTCCTCAACACTCATTTCTCATCCCGCATTTGTAAAGAAGTTTTACGGAATTTTATGATTTTCTAATTTGATGTAAATTCACTTTTTTTGGTTTCCTAACCTTTATCTTTCTGGAACTGGCTGCTAGCAGAATATTTGTCCAGTATACTACTTACATCTTCAGGGTTGCTTTTCAGATCTGCCTAAAATTCCAGTTTTGAAGATAGTAAAGCATGTCCTGTCCTGTCCTGTCCTGTCCTGTCCTGTCCTGTCCTGTCCTGTCCTGTCCTGTCCTGTCCTGTCCTGTCCTGTCCTGTCCTGTCCTGTCCTGTCCTGTCCTGTCCTGTCCTGTCCTGTCCTGTCCTGTCCTGTCCTGTCCTGTCCTGTCCTGTCCTGTCCTGTCCTGTCCTGTCCTGTCCTGTTTTTACCTCTAAATTAAGAATGTCTCCACTATCTACCGCATGTGTGGCGATGCCAGCATGGAGGCAGTCTCGACCCTATAAAAGTTTCAAAAATGAAAGAAAAAAAGGATTATTGAAACTTTCAGTAGACAAATATAATTTAAGAATGATTTTTTCCCACTCCAGGAATTCATTCATTTGTTTTCAAAACAATTTTTCCCTCTATTGATACAACTCGGAGAAAAAAAAATCCTCTTAATTTTTTTCTCGCTTTGAATAAACAAAGAAAAGGGGAGGAGGTGAGTAGTTTTTTAGAAATCCAGAGAAGCGTCCCATCTCTTATTAGATTATCTCCCAGCTTTAACTCCAAAATAGGCACCTGGCACATAATACTAAAACCAAGTATTTTCTGCATGCAAATTTTTTAATTGATTCCTTCTCTTTAAATTTTCCAATTAGACCCGGAAATCCCAATTTAGAGCTATTTACAATCCAATACAATTTGGGTCACCCTGTACCTTTTAACACAGTGCTTAGGATCCGGATAAGTTAGATCCGCAAGATTTTGGCTTCCTGTATCCAGATCCGGATCCAAGGGGAAAAATATAATCGAAAAACGGCAAAAAAAACTTTACTCTCAAAACCCAAAAAAGAGAGATAATAAAAATTTCCTGATTTCTGAATGGTTTATAAAGTTTTAGCATAAAAATAAGCGAAAAAATAAGACAAAAAATTGGAAAATTCTGCTTTATCAAACAATACAGTAAATCTTAAAAGAAATGACCGACCGGGATCCGGTTCCATTTTATTCCAGTGCGGATCCAGGATTCGGATCCGCATCAAAATTAAATGGATCCTAAGCACTACAGTTTTAAGCTTGACAAAATTTAATGTACCTTTAGCCTATGTCCAGTGAGGCCGAGAAACATGCCTATACTTCCTGGGAGGCGTGGCAGAAAATAAGCTCCGCCCACATCAGGCACCAGGCCTATCCCGGTCTCAGGCATAGCGAACATAGTGGTCTCACAACATACCCTTTTTACAGAACATGTTGTTAGATATTGTGATTAGTATCAGGAAGGAAAATCAGCTGGTTGTGTCTTATAATTTTTTAATTATTTTGAAAAAAAATATTTTTTAATTTTGTCTTGGATTTTTATATTGTGGTTATTTCCATGTTAATTGGAACACCCTGTACTTTTTCCCATGTTTATTGGAACACCCTGTATCTGTATTCCCATGTATATTAGAACACCCTGTACCTGTATTTCCCATGAACAGATATCCCGACCCCTCCTCCCATCACAATTCCATTGAGAAGAGCAACATACGGGATACTGAACAAAAAGAGGGAATATTATATTGTTTAACCGTCTTATGTCCAACATTACACACCTGTTTTTACCCCCAACAAAGGAAGGTTAATGCTTAGGATCCGGATCCGTTGGATCAGCAAGATTTTGGCTTCCTGGATCCGGATCCACAAAAATATGCGGATCCACGGATCCGGATTCCAGGGGTAAAATTCAACCAAAAACTGCAAAAAAAAACTTTTTTACAACTAAAACCCAAATCTGAACTTTTGAAAAAAGATCTTATAAAAATTTCCTCATTTCTGAACTATTCATCAAACTTTAGGATAAAAATGAGCGAAATTTTTTTTTAAAAATTTAAAAATTATTTTTTGTTGAAAAAATTCAGTCAATCTTAAAGAAATGATCTGGATCCGGATCCATTTTTTTCCAGAGCAGATCCAAGATCCGGATTCGGATCCGCATCAAAATTAATTGGATCCTAAGCACTGCTTAACGTCCTTTGGGACAATTAAGTAAAATAACCATTAACGACCCGCTCTGCGCAGATTTCGTGAAAAAATCGTGCATTTTCATCTCAAAATGCGATTAAATTGTGTACAACTACTTTTTCGGAAAGTTAACAATTTTACTTAACCACGGGTTCCAATTTGCATACAAAACATCCAGATTCCAAAAGTACGGTATAGAGAAATACCTTATAGTTCCTGTGAGATTATCCTTTAAAAAGTACGGTATAGAGAAATACCTTATAGTTCCTGTCAGATTATCCAATAAATATTCATTACGGAAGAAGTTTTTCTGAGCCTGACCCCCTCTTTCCTGAAAAATACATGTTTTAACCATATCTGGGATTTACAACTTTGTGCCTTAGCTATGAGAAGGGAGAGGGGGGGGGGGACAATTTGACACTTTGAAGCACCAAAGGCTGTCAAGTTGGTCTTAAAAATGATATAAAAAGTATAGATTTCGAATGCAGTCTCCGATTGTGATCATCTATCTACACGGGATCGACATCAGCAACTTATTGCTTCAAATTTGAAAGGAATTTTTAAAAAAAATACAAATTTCATTTTCTGATCATCATTTTTTTTATCAAATTACTATATTCAACATCGATATAGAAACACAACATGTTGAAAACTTACAATTTTTTTTAAATCCGTTTATTTTTTCTAATATTATTTTTAAATGCACGAAAAAGAATAGCTTGAAGATAGATCGGCAACAACAAAAATAGATTATAATCAGAAAAAAAGATTGACGCGCCCAAATCACTACATATATATATTATATATTTACTTTTAAATATATATATAATATTCTAGCTTGAATTCTCACCTTTCCCTGGACACAAAACTTTCTCTATGAAACGTCAAGTCAAGTTGTCAACCAACTCAACTAAAAATGTTTAAACAAAGCTAACAAAATTCCATTGGCTTTGAGGCAAATCTGTCAAGGAGCTCATGAATTATGATCGGCAATATAAAAACAAACAGACCTTACTAATTAATATATTTATATATATTTATTGTATTTTAACCTGTGTAATTGCTCTAATATCTCCACCAGAACAAAATGCTTTATCTCCGGCTCCTTTAATAATTACAAGCTTTACTCCTTCATCCTGTATACACCAGAACAGTTCAAATCATTTTATTTCAAGTATTTTAGGAATCTTAGCGCAGGGCGGAGAAAACAAAAAATGTGTTTAAATATAGTAATTTTTACTGAATTGGGAAAAATAAATAGTTTTATTGGGTAAATAAACACTGTAATAGGATACTTCTTATGAGTTGATGTTCAATAAAAAAAAAAACATAAAACAAAACTTCTTGCCTTAGGATGAAAAAACTATTTTTTTAAATATTTTTTTTTAATTCACCTCCCCCCCCCCTCCATCTCTCATAAAAACCTTATTATATTTTTTATCAATATTTAAAAATTTAACAATTTTTAACTGTTCCTGCCAACGCTGTAGTCTAGGATGCATAGCTGCAATCATATTTTCGTTCAAAGCATTCAACGCCTGAAAAAAATCTTTAAGGGACTGTAAGCATAATTTAAAGAGACCCTTCATGTAAAGATGGCAATTACCGATTTACAACGGTACCCTTGAAACCTTTATCTGATTAAAATGTGAAAAATACCGTCATTTGTCCAGGTCTCGAAAAGTGTTGAATATTAATAGTTTCTTTAATACAAGAAATGCCCAAGTCACTCTCGCAGAGAAAAGTTGCAAATAAAAATAAACAGTTGAAATAAAAAACATGGATATAATTTAAACTTTATACGACAAACCGTTGTAAATCGGGCATTGCCATCTTAATTCATGTGGGGTCACATGAAAATACGCGTACATTCCCTTTAGGCTTTTTAAAAAGGGACTGGCCCCGTAATTCAAGGAATTGTACATTTCAAAAATACTGTCAAGTGTCAAGTAAGGAATACAAAAGGAATTTACAAATAAAGTAAAGTGTAGTTTCTGGGACGAACGTAAACAAACGCAATCCTGCTCTGTATAAATCTCTTCCAGAAACTGCAGTACACTTTAATTGAAAACAAAGATAAGGGCGTTCCTATTGTATATTCCTTGCTGTCAAGAAGAAACCATCTTATGTAGAGTAGCAATCAATCAATTTAATAAGTGAAATATAGGTCCGTGGAAACAATTACTGTGTTTTATATTCAAACCTAGGCTCGCGCCCATCTATTATTTTAATTGTGAGCATTTTCCCTTTGTAAACATTGTAAAATGAAACTTTAAAAAGTTGACAGATTTTATAAAAAAAATTTCTTGGATTTTCAAAATTTAATGGAAATCGAATTTTGATAAAGGCAAAATTTTGAAATTTTGATCATTCATAAACCTTCCCTGGGGTCACGTGAGGTCCCACACAAAATTTTGGTATATATAATTAGAGACAGGTGTGAAAATAATAAATGGTGTTTTCCAAATCCAATGTTGTATGGGTCATATTGAATTCCCTGGGTTCAAGTCATCGGATATTTCTACAGCAATAGGTACGAAGATGAAATGAGAAAATGAAATGTTTTTGCGAATAAGATATACTATTGTTGATTTATTTTGATATTGAATAAAGTTGTTAAGAAGAAAAGGATTTTTCTACCTTAGGTCTGTTTAATAATATAGTTCCAACCCCTCCTTCCGTCTCCAGTAATATGTCCTCGGTGATAGAACTCATTTCTCTTGAAATAAATTGTCTAGAAATCCGCGGTTTTAAACTTACAAACGATCTAACAAGCTTTAACAGCATTTTGTCTGTAAAAAATTCACGATTAGATTATTGTGTAAATATCAACCTTTCTGGACTCCCCCCCCCCTCCATCCCTCCTGTCAATTTTGTAAATGGATCTCATATGTAACACATGGATTTATTTGGTCATGTGGCCTAGCCTGTCCTTGGCGCAGCGCTCGGTCCCCTAGCCTGTCCTAGCCGCGGCTCTCGGCCGCCTAGCCTGTCCTAGCCGCGGCTCTTAGGCCCCTAGCCTGTCCTAGACGCAGCGCTCGGTCCCCTAGCCGCAGCTTTCGGTCCCTAGCCTGTCCTAGCCGCGTCTCGTAGCCCCCTAGACTGTCCTAGCCGCGGCTCTTGGCCCCCTAGCCTATCCTAGACGCAGCGCTAGGTCCCCTAGCCTGTCCTAGCTGCAGAGCTCGGCCCCCTAGCCTGTCCTAACCGCAGCACTCGGCCCACAAATTGTCTGAACCTAACCTAACCCTAAAGTAATTGGTCCAAAAATCGTATACTAGGAAATTACCAAATTACCTATACCTGAATTTTAGTCTTTAAAAAATTGATAAGATAGAATTGAAGAGGGACAGGGGGGCCAGAAATCGTTCTCTAGGACAGACCCGGTCTGCGAATTTGACTAAATATTCTTGTTTATCTTGTGGAAAAAAATTTTGATAATATAAGTGATAAACAAATGAGTGAGATTAGTTCAATCGGTTTCAAGTGTATCAGTAAATTTAAAGCGCATTTACGATAAAGTGCCGCTCATGATTATCATTAAAACATTAGATCGTCTTTGTTGAGAAGACTATCAATCAATTGTTGTGGCCGCAATTATAGGACAGACGCTGAACTCAGCGTCTGGGTGGTGTATTTTTCGACCTACACATATCCGCTATACTCCACTTCTGACCTACACCAAATCCGCTATAAAACACATCCGACCTACTAGCACGTGGTTTTACAGCTGCGATATGGACATGTGGCCGCAGCGCCCGGCCCCCTAGCCTGTCCTAGCCGCGGCGCTCGGCCCAGAAATTGTCTTAACCTAACCTAACCCTCAAATAATACAAAAATAAACAGCTGACGTAGGTCCGATATTGCAGTAGGTCGGAAAGTTAGTAGGTCGGAAGTTCAGTAGGGGAGATATTGCGTATAGACGATGTAACATTACCGCTGAACTCCAACCTTCGAGTGTGTGAGGTGAGGAAGACTTCACTTCAGATTTTACAGCTGATTTTACTGAACACCGCGCTCAATTAAAAGCATGATTAAGGGGGGATGGGGGGGGGCCAATCAGAGTTTGCCCTCACTCCTCCCACACACCCTTAAAAGTTTGAGTGTCCCCCCCCCCGCTCAGTTCGTCTCTTCAAATATCCTGGCCATTTTGAATCTAATTTTAACCCTATCACCGTATCACGCCAAGTATTTAATCAATGCAATTTAATTGTCAGGTTAATTAGACACATTTAAAACTGAATTTATTTTTATTAAAAATAGAGTAAAAAATAGTTTTACTCTAGGAGGAAAAAGATTTTGCTCTTTTAAATCTTTAGAAAAGCTACTCTGCAAAAATATTGTCTTTGTTAATTCCAATTTCAATTTTCTTTCTTGTATGTTAAGATCTGAAATAAATCTAATATGTAGTTATTATTTAGAAGTAAAAATGTATTCTTCATTGTCCATACCCTTTTTTTCTATAAAAAGACATCTATAAATTATAATGACATTGACTATTATTTCAGAATTTAGAATCATTTAGAATATGTTGACTTGAAATCTAAAATGTCTGAAGTATCTGCACATTTAAATTATTTTCGTGCAAATTTTAAAGATGTTAAATTTTAAAATGAACCTTTTTAAAAAACAAATTCTAGGATCCCCAGGATTCTAGGGGGGGGGGTAAATAACCCCAATAACCCCCCCCTATTTCCGCCACTGAGGGAATGTTTTTTTGGAGGGGGCAAGGCAACTGTATAACTTGTAGGGGCAGAAGTGGAGTAATCCCTTTTTATAGGGCGTGAATAGTTCAGGAGTAATTACTTCCAAGATTCTTAGACAGTAGACACAGTAAAATAAAATTGTAAACAAATATCTAAAATCTTTATGCATTATCCAACTAGAAAGAAACAAAATCTAAATCTGACGAAGCTGTAAGAATAATATTATGAAGTGGGCTTAACAATTTATTAATGAAAAAAAAAATATTCTAATTGCGTTTCTAATTAATGTAAAGTACTCCGCTGCTCCTCCATTTTTTCTTTTCTCAAAGATTTCTTGAAATAGAACTTCATGATTTTCCTGATTTCCTGAACTTATGCAGTACATAAATCTCCTGACAGACCCGGTGTGATGCCTGGAGAGAACTCGTACCTGCAGCGAACTCTGGTTATGCTACGCGGCAAAGCGCAAGATTCTTTAAACATAAACAAACACTTTTCTTGTTTGTTTACATTTCAAGAAACTTGCGCTTTGCCGCGTGCATAACCAGAGTTCGCTGCAGGTACGAGTTCTCTGCAGGCATGACACCGGCATCATGAAACCTTAACAAGTTTAAGATTATCTTTAAGAATATTTGTTTCTTAAAATTAAAATATCCATTGTACACAGAATGTATTCTTGGGGGTTGGGGGAGGGGGGTTGGTGACAATTTGTTGAAAATTTCGGATAAACAGCAGTTGTTTGAAACTGAGAAACATTTCAAGAATATGTGGTGGCCGTGGGCAGGGCATAACCCCCCCCCCCCTCTGAACGCGGCCCATCTATACGCCCTTGCTATGAACAAATTATGAAATGTTCCTTAAAGATGAATCCAATTCTGAAACTATTTTACATTCTATGAAACTAAATATGCGTTGGTTAATCAGCTTTCCATTCTTCTTTCAAAAATATGTCCACAAATAACATAAGTGGGGGCAGGGATCGATAGTTTAGCTCCTGTTGCAGAAATGTTAATGTTTCAAAAACTCAAAAAAGAGTCACGGAAGTTCGTAGTAAGATTTTGACTCCACTGGAGACCACCGGAGGGAATTCTTTTTCACTGGAGGGGTTTAAAAAAATGCTTTTTACATATGTCCCAGATGACTCCCAGTTCCGTGGTGATGTCCCAGATGACTCCCAGTTCCGTGGTGAAAAAGTGGTCATGTACAAAAGTAAAATCTGCCGTGAATTCTTCCCCACCTCGCACACTCGAATTGGTTGGAGTTCAGCGTCTGCCTAACACCGATTCCAAATTGGTCCCTGATCTCTGTTCTTATTACAAAGACGACGGATTACATGCCTTGATTTCAACAAATCAACTCGAACTCATTTCATAATTTTCTTTCTTAATATCTTTTTTTCGCTTAAGAAGTTCTGAAGTTTTGGTATAAAATTTGTACTGCATAGCGGAGGCTCGGTGCTGCATAGTAAATCTGGGAGGCTCATGGCGGCAGGGGGTTCCCTCCCTTGGAGAACCCGGGGGGAACTTAAACACTGAGAAAACTTTTTCAAATTAAATTGAAAAATTTTAACTTGTAACTTTGTATACTTGTAATTAAATACAAGTGGATCAAAAAGAGAGTTTACCTTAATTTGTTTTTAACCTTACTCAAAAACGGCTTCAATAAATGCCTAAAACCGATTTTTTTAAGGATATATTAACACAAATGTTTCAAATGCACATGGGTAGAGTACATGGCACTTAGAAGAAAGATTTTAAATAGAATTGTATTTCATTTCATGAATTAAAAATTAGGATGATTCCCCATTTCTTATTCTTGCAGTACAGTTCAAATCTAACTTTTTTCATAATTTATAGGAACAACTGAAAAAAAAACTGTAAAAAATCCAAAAAATAATTTTTATTTAGTGATGTGGACCTTGGCATCCATCAATTTAGAATTATTAATAATTAATCGTAAATAGGCTTCGCGCCCACTTTTCTATTCAAACTTTTCACTTTTAAAAATTGCTCTGAAATTCGCCATTTTTAAAACAGACCAAAAAGACAGAAAACCCAAATATTTGTATTGAGTTGTTAATTCCAAATATATAAATATAAATAAGTATTGAGTTGATCTCAAATATATAAATATAAATAGTGTATCAAATGCCTTACTTCAACAAGTCCTTTTAAGTCTGTATCAATCCAGATACAACCCGCTCTTAAACTCTTTAGAGTCTGTATCGTTCGGATACAACTCACTCTAGAACTTCTACAATAATAGTCTGTATCAATCAAGATACAATACTCTCTCATGTATTCTCAGTATGTAACGTACAGATACAACACTCTATGTATTCTTTAGTATGTATCATTCAGATACAACTCGTTCTCAAAATCAATGTTCGACCAATAAAAATTCAGTCTGTATCAATCCAGATACGACACTTTATGTATTCTTTAGTAAGTATCATTCAGATACAACTCGCTCTCGAACACAATGTACAACCAATAATACTTCAGTCTGTATCAATACAGATACGATACTCTATGCATTCTTTAGTATGTATCATTGAAATACAACTCGCTCTCGAACACAATGTACAACCAATAATACTTCAGTCTGTATCAATACAGATACGATACTCTATGTATTCTTTAGTAAGTATCAATCAGATACAACTCGTTCATAAACTCAATGTCTGACCAATAACACTTCAGTCTGGATCAATTCAGATACAACACTTTATGTATTCTTTAGTATGTATCGTTCAGATACAACTCGTTCATAAACTCAATGTCTGACCAATAACACTTCAGTCTGTATCAATCCAGATACGATACTCTATGTATTCTTTAGTAAGTATCATTCAGATACAACTCCTTCTCAAACTCAATGTCTGACCAATAACACTTCAGTCTGTATCAATACAGATACAATACTCTATGTATTCTTTAGTATGTATCATTCAGATACAACTCGTTCATAAACTCAATGTCCGACCAATAATACTTCAGTCTGTATCAATCCAGAAATGACACTTTATGTATTCTTTAGTATTATGAACCCAACCAGTAAAACAATCTAGATCTAGTTCAAAAGGGTATTAAACTCCGGTTATGTTGCAGGTAGGGTTGGTAACGTTTTGATTTTTGAAAAAAACGATCGTTTCGTTAAGAAAACGTCGAGGAAAATCGAAAAACGAAACGATCGTTTTTAAAAACGATCGTTTTTTTAAAAAGTTCGTTTTTTAAAAACTGTCGTTTTTTAAACGATCGTTATAAAAAACGATCGTTTAAAAAAAACGATCGTTTTTCAAAACGATCGTTTTTATAAAGTTTGTCGTTTTGTTAACGATCGTTAACGACTACCCTTCGTTAACGATCGTTAACGACTACCCTTCGTTAACGACTACCCTTTGTTAACGATCGTTAACGACTACCCTTCGTTAACGATTGTTAACGACTACCCTTCGTTAACGGTCGTTAACGAAGGGTAGTCGTTAACGACTACCCTTCTTGATAACAACCGTAAATTTGGAGACTACAGTCCTTCTTTCGATCTGTAGAATTAATTATCTTTATGTGACGTAATTATCAATCATTACCTTATCCAATCACTAATCAAATCAGTCTTCTAGGGATGTTACCTTTCATTAACTAAACAATTATGATCAAAACTTAATATTTTTAATATCTTGTACTTTAATTTCTTGTGTGCCAAATTTCAAGCATATATAAAACAAATAAAGAATTAGGTTTTAAAGTTCATATTGACCATTTTGCGGGGCTCATGGCGGCTCTGCACTCTCAAAAGTAGAACAAATTTCTTCAATTCAATTCAATTCCGCTGATCATTTTATAACTGCTACGGCATGTAAGACGACATTTGATAAATCTAATTAAAAACGACATTTATGACTATCTTCAGGACGTCGTAAAAATGATAATTTTTTTTTTTCAAAAACGATCGTTATTTTTTAACGATCGTTTATTTAAAAACAATCGTATAAAATACGGTCGCTTATCGTTTTTCTGAAAATGATCGTTTTCAAAAACGATTGTTCTTCGTTTTCTAACAGTTCAAAACGAGTGGGTTGTTTTAAAAACGATCGTTTTTTTGAGAAAACGAAACGATTGTTTTTAAAAATGATCGTTTAACGAAGCAAAAAACGATCGTTAAACGATCGTTTTCAAAAACGATTACCAACCCTAGTTGCAGGGTATTGATCTCTTATCTCGTGATACCACCCTATGGCCAGGGGGTGCAAGGTTTGGTGCTGGAGAAAGGAGTAACAGTGTAGAGGAAATGGGTATTGAACCCTCTTTCTTATCTAGAGTATGGCATTTATCTTGCCAGCAGAGAAATCAGATCATTAGCGATCTCAGCCCCGGAGTTCATATTGGAATCAATTAGCACGAATCATCTGATCAGAAGAGTCAAATTGAATTATATTCGCCCCTAGGCCAATGTCATGTATATTTAGATCAACTCTAGATAATTGTTTGTATCGTTATAATGTAAATATAATGTGTGTGCAACCATGGTTTGTTATTCCACTCAATCTTGACTTTTTAATGCTGAATTCTTTTCAAGTCTATAGTATGTATCTTTCAGACACAACTTGAACTGGATGCTCTCTATACGAGAAATAATATGTGTGTAAACGTAATAAAGCAAAGATCCATACCCAACCAATCTATATGTAAATTAAGGATGGTTTTATAGTCATGTTAATAATATAGAGATAAATAGATTTGGCCCGATTTTTTTTTTATTAAGTGTCATCTTAGTGTTTAGAGTTGAATCTTTGCACTTGATAACAGAAAAAAAGATTAGGTCCGAATTTTTTTTATCATGTGACATTTTGATGTTTTTATATACGCGGGGCACAAAACCAGGGATCATCCCAATCACCCCAATTTTGATTTTGAGGCAGTTTACATCTATCCAAACTCACTGACATAGAATAAATATATTCATATATGATCTCTTAAAAAAGGAGACAAACTATTTACAAAATCTAATAAACATTTATTATCTTTCATATAATTTTAAAATTTACTACAATTTTCGTTAGATTTACCTTGAAAAGATGAGGGTAAAGTTTAAAAATCTTAAACCTAGTTTAATGAAAGTTTTTCAAAACTGCCACATTTGTTCATTATTATTATATTTTGTCTTTTGATACATTTTGTTAAAAAAAGGATGTTCAAAATTTTACAGGAAAGTTCAAGAATTTGATTAACAAAGAAAAACTGATGAACAAATTTGGAAGTTAAAATTTTATCCATTTTCTAATTGAAGTAGATACAACATTGACAAATACATTTACTAGAAGGAAAAGCATGTTACAAGCACAAGACACTGGTTTTACATTTAAGATTTGGAAGACAAGTTTGAGTAAAAATGTGATTACAAACAATTTACAGGAATTTCATCGAAATAGAATTGAACTCAATTTTCAAATCCAATTCACAAAAACACTTTAAATTTGAAGGTAAAAACATTTATTCTCATTTTTTGGAAGACATAATTACAATAAGATATGTAAACATTTATTATAGAGTAAAGGGTTTTGACTGATGGATAAAATATCGCATCTAGAACATGAAAAAGAAATTGCTAAAACTAACATACAAAGGAACTTATTACTCGCCTCAAACTCTTATTTTCTAATCCTTTTATCTGAGAAATCTAGTGTCATAACCTTTGACGTTTCAAATTATAAATTTTCATAAATAAGATAGTAAAAGGCTTGCACCATCACGTTGCAAAGATATAAAGATTCGAAATTTTTATATTTGATGCAAGTAATAATTTACAAATATTTACATTAGACATATAGCAATGACGAAAAAGAAAATAAACTCACAAGAAGCCTCCATGAAAGTCCCTAAGTGAAAATAATGGAAAAGTCCATTTTGGAAAACATAAAAAAAAATAATTGAAAAAAAGAAAAAGAGCTAGAAATCCATTAACAAGAAACCCTTTAAAAAACTCACAGGGATCAAGGTTAAAGCATTATTTACAATATTTACAAAACAACTATTTTAAAAATGCATAGTTAGGTTTTTTGTGCATAATTCGGTGTTCTCTGGTTCAAAATTTATCATGAAAGCTTTGTATTCAAATTATTGAAAAGGTTTTTTTCATTTTGTTATCAGTCATTATAAACATTTTGATTTTTCATTTAAAATTAGCAAAACTTGAAGTGATATTAAAATTGTATTAATTTCATTTTTGTAATCAATTGAAAATCACACGAAAATAATGATTTTCATTATTTAATTTGCAGTCTTATTGTTTTAACTCTATAATATTATTATTAAAACTTATAGTTCAGCTAATATATTCTGTGTCAGTATCATAAACAAGGATGAAAAATAAAGTTGGTAAAACAAACTATGTCGTAAATTGTCTTGTTAAAGAGTCTACAGCGTTAAATGATTTCAAATCACAGTGATTTAAACTGGTCAAATGTGTCGTTGTTCGCTAGTTTCAGTCCTGTAAACTATCTATACCGCTGTGGTACTTAAAGATGGGTCAGCTTAGAGTGTTGTGCTGCGCTACTATCCTTAGGTCTGAAATAAACAAAAGATATATTTTGATAAAGTTTTTCTACTTTTTATTTGAGAACAAAGGAATTTAATTTTTGCCACAAACTCTGATATTCTACTCCTTATATCTTTGCAACCCAATATAGTAGATTTTAGACATTTCAAACTATGAATTCTGTTAGATTAGATTAGATCAGGTTGTTAAGATATATGTAGGGATGAGAAAATTAGGATTTGTGCAAAAAACTCAATTCTTTTCCGCAAAATTTTTTTTGATGCATTAGGTTGGGAAGATACATACAAATTTTGATCACAAATAAAAAAAAATATTTTTCCGACGTTTTATAAAAAGTTTAGTTTACCTTCCCTTATATAAGACCTCAAAATAAAAAAAAAACTGAGTAGGCTTCACGTCGCTATTCATTTTTAATAGCAAGGTCGCGTGAAATTACGCCGACAGTCCATTTAACCCTAAACAGGCTAGAGGGGGCGTTTGGGTGAACGTATAAAATGCCTTTTTTTGCTGAAAAATAGGTGAATTTTTTATTAACATAGGTATGTATGGTAGTAAGCAGATACTTTTCTTATAAAACTATAAGATTTTTTTGTAAAATCATGATAAAAAAAATATATTAAGCAAGAAATTCAACTTTAAAAATCTTTAAATTGCCTCTTTTTTTTCTTTAAGACTTGCTTAAGTTTTTGTCTTGGAAGTGACTGTAGTTTGAAAATGAAAAAAAATAATTAATGTTGAAATTAAGATTTTGAAAAATCAGTGGAAGTGAGGGTAGTTTTTAATTTAAATAAAATTCTTGAATAAATGTTGATAAAAAAGTTTCAACTTGTGGGTGGTAGTGAGGGTAGTGGGGAATTGAAAAATAAATAATTGAATAAATGTTGATAAAAAAGTTTCAACTTGTCGGTGGTAGTGAGGGTAGTTTAAAATAAAAAAAAATTTTGAAAAAAATGTTGATATATAGATCCCAGGCTTTACATAGATTCAGACCCCCAGCCTTTATAGGGTTAAACTCCTAATAAAGATGTTGCAAATAATTATATTTTCTTTCTTTTACAATAAGCAAAAATAGTGAAATAATTCTTTCTTATACAATTACATTAGATTTTGTTTATAACCTTCTCCTAAGGATTAGGTAAACAAGGGAGAAAATATCTAATTTATAAGATTTAAAGGGAGTGACCGTCTATGTAAGGTGGTTGAACTGAGTATGCAGTGTTGGGGAAAACTTCTTTCGGATTCATTTGAGACATATTAAACTTGTTAAAGATCTGTGAATCCTGAGTTTGAGCGCAAATTCAACGTTGAAATTCAAAATCCCCTCTTTTTGGGGTGGCTACGTTTTCAGAATTAGCTTTTTTTAAATTATTAAATAACGACGACATAAAATGTAAAAAGTTCTACAATAAACTATAGACGTTATGTATATGTAATATGTTGAGAAACAAAAACTAATCTTATCATCATCAAAAATAAGTAATCTTGTTCAATTATTAGTTTCTATTTTCTCATTATTCACAAAGATTTTTTTGCAGATTTTCTAGAATTATTATTGGAAAGACGACATTTGAAGAATTTGAAGAAATCTGCGAATAAATGCAAAGAAAATAAGAAATTCAATATAAAAATGAAAACGAAATAATCGATTTTAGCATTGGTTTTTTGACAAATTTCTTTTGAGAAATATGTTCCTAACCATATCGTTTCTTATAATCATAACGTATCCAACCCCAAAGTTTTGAACGTCGAATTTGCGCTCAAACTCAAGATTTACAGATCTTTAAAAAGTTTAATATGACTCAAATGAATCCGAAAGAAGTTTTCCACAACACTGCATATCAGTTCTCACTCCCTTTAACAATATGAAAAAAGTTATAATAAATTGAAATCGAACCATAATTCCATTGCGGGTATAACGGCATCGACAAGTGTCAATGGGAAATTATATGATTTGAACAAACACAAATCTTAGATTGAAGATTGAAAATGTATGTATTCGGATTGCAAACTGCGAAACAAATACATATAAAAATTTTGTTTTTCATATATGGCTGGGTTTTAAAATACCAAATGGTATCGCAATAAAGCAAAGTGATGGAGTTGGGAAGGGGCCGGAAAAAAATAATTTTACCTCGTAGTCAAAGTGATAATTTTACCTGATTTCCGTCAGGTCCAGTGTGGGACTAACAATCAAATCTATTTTCTAAAAAAAATATTAAATAAAATATAAAGACAGCATGGATAAAATATAAAGATAGTATGGATAAAATATAAAGATAGTATGGATAAAATATACAGCAAGCATGAATAAAATCTTTCTTTTTTTTAAATCGGAATTTTCTTTTTTTAATTTTAAATTTCTTATGAAGTTCTTTAAAGAGCCGAAACTGTAACCTATTAAGGATATTTAAATAATTTTTAAAGGTTTTGAATATTTAAAAGCTTAAACAAAATTTGCATATAACTTTTTTTCTTACCTCTTGAATAGATCCTGGTGTGGTTACCCACAGCCAGATTGCGTAAACTAAACAAATAATTACATTCAAAAAAATATTAATTGAAAAATCAATAATCATTGACATATGGTTCATAATATCGAAATATCGAAATATCGAAAAATCGAAATATCGAAATATCGAAATATTGAAATATCGAAATATCGAAATATCGAAAGATTGAAATATCGAAATATCGAAATATCGAAACATTGAAATATCGAAATATTGAAATATCGAAATATCAAAATATCGAAATATCGAAATATCGAAATATTGAAATATCGAAATTTCGAAATATCGAAAACATTTCAAAATTACATCTTGTTCTAAAAGTATAAACAGAATGTTAGAAATTAAGAAATTCGAATTAGTTTCGGTAGTTCTATTCTATTTTATGAACTTAAAGCATTCTAATATTACAAAATTATTGCTCGAGATTATGAAGAAAACTAGCACCAATTTTGAATTATTATGAAATTATTTTGAAATATCTAAGGAAGTACTTTAGGTATTTCATATTACATAATAGTGAAATATATTTTCTATGTGTTGTTACTATGTTTGTATTCTGTAATAATTGTATTCGATAGCGTACTATATGGTGTAATTCTGAATTGTTTTCATCAGTATACTGTAGGTTGTGTATTCTGTACTGTAGTTTAGTATTAGTATTCTGTAGTGTATTGTAGGTTGTGTAACGTGTATTCTGTACTGCAGTGTAGTATCTGTATTCTGTAGTGTACTTTAAACTGTAGCTGGTGTATTCTGCAGTGTACTGTATGTTGTATATTCTGTACTGCAGTGTATAGCATTTGTATTATGTAGTGTACTGTAGGTTCTGAAATGTGTATTATGTACTGCAATGCAGTAATTGTATTTTGTACTTTATTGTAATATTTGTATTCTGCAGTGTACTGTAGTGTAGTATTTGTATTCTGTAGTGTACTGTGGTGTAACAATTTTATTCTGTAGTGTACTGTAGTGCAGTGTTTGTATCCTGTAGTTTACTGTATACTGCAGCTGGTGTGCATTCTGTACTGGAGTGCAGTACTTGTGTTCTGTACTGCAGTGTAGTAATTGTATTCTGTAGTGTACTGTATAATTTAGCTGGTGTTTTTTCTGTACTGTAGTGTAGTATTTATATTCTGTAGCGAACTGTAGTGTAGTGTACTGTATTCTACAGCTGGTGTGTATTCTTTATGTAACGTAGTATTTGTATTCTATAGTGTACTGTATACTGTAACTGCTCTGTATTCTGTAGTGTATTGTATTCTGTAGCTGGTCCGTATTCTGTAGTGTACTGTATACTGTAGCTGCTGTGTATTCTGTAGTGTACTGTATACTGTAGCTGATCTGTATCTGTAGTGTACTGTATTCTATAGTTGGTCTGTATTCTGTAGTGTACTGTATACAGTAGCTGATCTGTATTCTGTAGTGTACTGTATACTGTAGCTGGTCTGTATTCTGTAGTGTACTGTATACTGTAGCTGCTGTGTATTCTGTAGTGTAGTGTATACTGTTGCTGCTGTGTATTCTGTAGTGTACTGTATACTGTAGCTGGTCTGTATTCTGTAGTGTACTGTATACTGTAGCTGCTCTGTATTCTGTAGTGTACTTTATACTGCAGCTGCTCTGTATTCTGTAGTGTACTGTATACTGTAGCTGGTCTGTATTGTGTAGTGTACTATATACCGTAGCTGCTGTGTATTCTGTAGTGTACTGTATACTGTAGCTGCTGTGTTTTCTATAGTGTACTGTATACTGTAGCTGCTGTGTATTCTGTAGTGTAGTGTATACTGTTGCTGCTGTGTATTCTGTAGTGTACTGTATACTGTACCTGGTCTGTAATCTGTAGTGTATTGTATTCTGTAGCAGGTCCGTATTCTGTAGTGTACTGTATACTGTAGCTGCTGTGTATTCTGTAGTGTACTGTATACTGTAGCTGATCTATATCTGTAGTGTACTGTATTCTATAGTTGGTCTGTATTCTGTAGTGTACTTTATACTGCAGCTGCTCTGTATTCTGTAGTGTACTGTATACTGTAGTTGGTCTGTATACTGTAGTGTACTGTATACTGTAGCTGGTCTGTATTCTGTAGTGTACTGTATACTGTAGCTGGTCTGTATTCTGTAGTGTACTGTACACTGTAGCTGCTCTGTATTCTGTAGTGTACTGTATACTGTAGCTGGTCTGTATTCTGTAGTGTACTGTACACTGTAGCTGCTCTGTATTCTGTAGTGTACTGTATACTGTAGCTGTAGTGTATTCTGTAGTGTACTGTATACTGTAGCTGCTGTGTATTCTGTAGTGTACTGTATACTGTAGCTGCTGTGTATTCTGTAGTGTACTGTATACTGTAGCTGCTGTGTATTCTGTAGTTACTGTATACTGTAGCTGCTGTGTATTCTGTAGTGTACTGTATACTGTAGCTGCCGTGTATTCTGTAGTGTACTGTATACTGTAGCTGCTGTGTATTCTGTAGTGTATTGTATACTGTAGCTGCTGTGTATTCTGTAGTGTACTGTATTCTATAGCTGGTGCTTGTTCCCCCCAATAAACCAATAAAGTAATACTTTCTCTCTAACAGGTGTATCTAACAAATATTGTAATATTGCATCATAATTTCTAGTCTTTTTACATTGCTTAGATTCTTTTTAAAGAGTGTTTGAATCAAAACAACTATAGAAAGTCTGTTCAGTCTTTTTTAAAGTTTTTTTTTCTAGCTTCAGTCTTAATGGTAAATAAGGCATCATTCTGTTTTCCGACGCGTGTTAAAATCTTCAAATTATCCAAGTATGTCAGAAAGTAAATTTTTATTTAACAGTTCTTTCCGGACGTGAAAGGGAGTGTTCGCAAAAAATAAAGGGGGTTATAGGCTTACGGCGAAAAATAATCGCTTTTAATTTCTTCTAATCATATTTCTATCTGTTGCGTCTAAAAGGAGAACATTGTTAAAAACGACTTGTACCTTGAACGTAGAGTCCATACAAATTGAGAAAATTGCAACATACGACTTTGATTGTAAAAAATCAATTTAATATCAAACAAATCATTCAGATATTACAACCTATAATCATCGATTATTTTCGATGCATTAATAGATTGATATTTAATATATTGATATTTTTCATTTGTTTTTTAACATTGCACTTAAAACGCCGATTAGTTTGTCCGCCAGGTGTCTCTGCTCTCGATGTTCTTAATGATTACACGTGGCAGAGACACATAGCAAAAAAATCGCTGTTTTTAAGTGCATTGTATATAAAACAAATAAAAACTATTATGAAATATCAACTATGTATGAATGCGTCGAAAAATAATCGATGACATAGGTTTTAATATCTGCCTTATTGTGCATGTATGTATGTATGAACTGTACATAGTACAACTTGCTGACGGTACAGTATTTCACTGTCCTACCTGGAATACAGAGCATAGAACTTCCCGCCATGAAGTATCCGACTGCATGGGCCCACCAGGGGTAATGGTAGCCCTGGTATACAAGGTTCTCCCAGGTAGCAAGCTAAAACAAAATTATCTTGACATAAATTTTAGTGACCCAGCAGTATCCTTGACTCCTTATTCTGATATATAGTTTTGAAGGTAAAAATATCCTACCTTGAAGAGGAAGATATCCTACCTTGGAAGAAATATATCCTACCTTGAAAAAAAAGATATCCTACCTTGAGGAGAAAGATATCCTTTCTTTTTTAAAAGTAAGAAAATTTTAAGAATGTCGACTGACATGTTTTCTGATCTAAGGTTGTAATGAAATAAAGGTTTTCCGACCAAAATTCTATTTTTCGTTAACGGAGGGTGGCCGTTAAGAAGGGGTCGTCGTTTACGGTAGTTTAAGATCTATAACGATCAAAAAACGACCTACCTTCGTTATCAAAACGAAGAACTAAAACAAAAAACGACTTCTTCGTTTTTCAATTTTCAAAAACGATCATTTTCAAAAAGGATCTTACCTTGAAGAGAAAGATACCGGCACAGATAGCTGGGGTGAAAACTGACCAGCACGCGACAAAGAAATAGCTTGGATAGTAACCAATCATATCCTTCATACCCTCACGGAAACGCCTGAACCAAATAATGTAACATTATTTAAGAAATTTTATAAAAACTGTACTCAAGAGAAATTAAAAGTTTTATAAAAACAGTTTTTTCCATTCTCTCTCCGAGTGTTTTCTCAATTTTCATCCAGAAACCTATCTTTGTATGGTATAACAGGGGTGCAGAAACTTTTTTCTAGAATCATTTTCAAAACCCTTAAATTCATTTCGCTAAGAGTTCTAGGATATGTTGACCAAAGAGTTTTATTTTGAACAATTGTACCATAGCTCGATCTTTTTCTCCCTTTTTATTAACCATTACAGTCTCCCCCTCCCCATTATCTCCCCCCTTCCCAAGTTTTCCTTTAATTTAAAGCTCTTTCAATTAATTTTAATCCTTAGAAACTTCTCGCTGTTAAAGTAAAAGTGATTTAAACCTTAGTTTTTTTCATTTAGCAAATATATATCTATCGATCTATCAATCTACTTTACAGTGAGAACTAGAAAACAGTGAAACTTTTTTTTCCAATGTTGCTTTTCTGTTCTAAAAAGTGTCTTAAACATTTTAATCACAAAATCCTTAAAAATTCTAAGTCTTATTTAAATTGAAGACCAAAGACGACCTTCATTCCAGGGCTGTTTAGTTTACACAACAAATATTTCACTCTCCAATCATAAATAGTTAATTTCTTTAAAATTGTTACTAGCCTCCTCCCCCCTTGAAAAATAATTTTGAGCATAAAAAACTTTAGTTTTAGGTTCTAATTAGATAAAAAAATATGTAAAATCAATTCTTTTTTGAGTTTATATAAATTTTAAGCAAAAGGACGGTTCACTGCTATATTGGCAAAGATATGAATATCGATTGTAAACAATAGTTGGTGATTTATCAAAATTTTACATGTTTTTTAATCATAACGCTTTCAATTTATGCAACAACATGTTTGCATTTCTCAGACTTAGGCGTAAAATCTAATTTAGATAAGCTCTGAGATCAAATTTTTTCAAATAATTTTACAAAAAAAGTTTATTTTCCTTATGCTTACCTAGCTCCGAACCCCCAGGAGACAGCAATGCATTCAAAGAACATGAGGAAGAGAAGAGACATTCCACTAGCAGCATATTCATCAAACAGTTGGAATACGTAGATACCACCCTACAATATATATTAATATTCCACTAACAGCATATGTATTCATCACATAGCTGGAATACGTAGATACCACCCTACAATATATATATTAATATTCCACTAACAGCATATGTATTCATCACATAGCTGGAATACGTAGATACCACCCTACTAATTATTTATATTATTATCAGTTCTTAATTTTCCCAACTCAAAATTAAAGTTTAAAAACGTAGAAATAAAAAAATAGACGAGTTTTCAAATAAGTATATGATTGGTTTTATGTTGTCTGCTATAAATTATGCGAAGGGAGCTAGAAATGTTCCTACCCAAAACAGAAAATCTGCGAAACCCTTCCGATGTTTTTGTTCTATTTTAAACTATCCCCTCTGGTTTGAGTTTGTCAGGATTTAGGAATCTGTTGTTTAATATTAAACATAGGACAAGAAAATTCTAAATTAAATTCTGACAGAATCGAGACAAACTTTACAATATATATATAAATATATATATACTAAACAAATATGGTTGCAAGATAAATTATAATAAATCCTTTCATGCTTCTGCATATACAGAGCGTCCCATATCATATTAGATTATCTCCAATCTTTAATGCCAAAATACACACATAATACTAGAAAAATCTAGCACTTTCTGCAAAAAGAAAATTCTATTAGCCTTATTAAATTTTTCAAAATGATTCATTCTTCTTAAATTTTCTGATTTGTCCCCCAAATCGTAATTTAGACCCATTGACGCGGTCTAATTTGATGTGGGACACCCTGTATCTACAATGTTTAGGATCAGGGGATAAATATTATGTAAAAAGTAAAGATAAAGTATCTTTTAAAAATTGTTCTTTTTAAGATAACTTTGCATAATTAAAAAGCATTACTATTTCTCTAGCGTAACCGCCCAAATCAATTCCCTTGATTTAGGCTTTACAACAGGCTATTATGCCATTTCCAAGATGACACGAATATGAATATCAATGAAAAATAATAAAACTACAATCAGATTGGCATTTGGTGCTTCTGCCACGCGGATCAGCTGTCAGTACAGTAATACCCAGAAAACTGTAGAATATGAATACGACTAGTAAGTAAGTTATATTACTTTATCAATTTCTGTTTCTCATGTTCATAAAAATTGAGTGTAAGATTCGACTTCTTGTTATAGAGTTTTCTGGTTCTCACTGTATTATATTTTTCTTTATATTTACCCTTGAAATACAGGAGAATCCAATGATATAGGAGAGGAAGCAAACAAAAGCAATGAAGATTTCTTTATGCGGCCTGAAATTATAAAAATGAGTGTAATCGTAAAAAATTGTATTCTTGACATCGAAATTTGCGATTTCTTTGTCAAGTAAAAAATGTTGTTTAAATTTTAAGTTTTTTTTCAAAATCCAAAACTCGATGGAGCTATTGGATAATTGTAAAACATTACTTTATTAATTAATGGCAACGTTTCTTTTCAAAAACAATAGTTTTTATATAGTTTAACTGCACAATTAATTGTACTTCATCCAATTTTTTAATCATAGAGAATAGAATATATAGAGAGGAATTAAAAGAATCTCTCGGTATGAATTTTGTCAGTCCCTTTCAGCCTGAAAGGGAGTTCATAGTGTACAAATCATGTAAATGTTCACAAATTATATGCAGTAGAGTACATTAATACAGTATGTTCCCTAGACTATCCATTTCAATTTCGAATCTTTTAAACTGTTAAATAAACTTTATAGGTGAATAAAAACATCATTTGATTTATATATTTATAACGGAAAATCATCGTTTGTAAAGTGGAAGGCATAGAGTCTATGTGAAATGATCATTGGTCAATTATGAAACCAGTCTACTTCATAATTTGGCTTTCTTTTAACAATAATTTTAGATTTTCTATAAAATGATATTCCAGGGCCCAACAGGTTATATAGCATAAATATGTGAAGTACACCTGCAGTATGGAAACAGTACAACAAAATGGCCGTTTTACACTTTTTTCTAGTAAATTCCTCTCTATATATTCTATTCTCTATGTTTTTAATACATATTTGTTTGCCATACAGAGAGAGTTTTAGTAGATTTAGCTTACCTGAGATACTTAGGAAATTCATCAACAACAGCAGTAATAAATCCCTCCATCGTACAGAACTGAGAATCCAAACCTAAATCCCGTTTTTACCATATACTTTCTGTCAACATCAATACTAGGCATAGTCCAAGGAACTATATACAGGAACGCCCAACTGAGATATGTGCATATTATGTACTGTAAACTGCTCAACAAAAAACAAGTTAATATATCAAGTTAGAGCGACCAAGAATGATTTTTGGCTTTCTGGTCATTATGGAAAATGCAATAGCAATACATTCTTATCCCACCCCTGAGGCCCTTTTCCCTCAAAAATGATGCGTTGCCCCTGAATTCTTTGTTTTGATCTCCTCCCACTGCAGTACATAGAATTGACGCATCAGATATGGCGGTTCCTGGTCTATATATTTCTTGGCATAGTCTAACAAAGCCAAATGTTAATTCTAAACATTTGTTTTTCTGACATTATCCCCAATTTTGACTTTGACAGGAAACATAAAAAAACGAACACTAAAAATTGACGTTTATAAAACGATCCTTTCGGTTCGTTTTTCCATTTATTTCGGATACAAATTTTCCAAAGTTTAATAAAAACTCAAACTTTAACAGAAAACAGTTTTAAAACTTTTAAAGACTTCAAATTTTTTTATAATGAGACGAGGTTGGGGGTAGTCTTTTTGAAGATTTTATTTAAAAAAGATGAATGCACGAAAAAAAAATGTTTTTCAAGCATCGTTAAATAAGTTGACGTTAGGACATTTACAAATCCAAAAATGTTGCAAATGCTTTTTGACAAAAAAAATACATATTTTAATCTTTATTTCACCCTATTTTATACCTAAGAACATGAGCATGAAGAAGAACAGACAAGACCATAGAGGTGACAGAGGCATCTGTAAAACAGCACTAGGATATGCCAGGAACGCAAGTCCAGGTCCTAAAATATCTAATCTGTAGAACAGCACTAGGATATGCCAGGCACGCAAGTCCAGGTCCTAAAATATTAAAACTGTAGAACAGCACTAGGATATGCCAGGAATACAAGTCCAGGTCCTAAAATATCAAAACTGTAGAACAGCACTAGGATATGCCAGGAATACAAGTCCAGGTCCTAAAATATTAAAACTTTAGATAGGATATGCCAGGAACGCAAGTCCAGGTCCTAAAATATCAAAACTGTAGAACAGCTCTAGGATATGCCAGGAATGCAAGTCCTGGTCCTAAAATATTTAAACTGTAGAATAGCACTAGGATATGCCAGGAACACAAGTCCAGGTCCTAAAATATTAAAACTGTTAAACAGCACTGGGATATGCCAGGAACGCAAGTCCAGGTCCTAAAATATTAAAACTTTAAAACAGCATTAGGATATGCCAGGAACGCAAGTCCAGGTCCTAAAATATCAAAACTGTAGAACAGCACTAGGATATGCCAGGAACACAAGTCCAGGTCCTAAAATATCAAAACTGTAGAACAGCATTAGGATATGCCAGGAACGCAAGTCCAGGTCCCAAAATATTAAAACTTTAAAACAGCATTAGGATATGCCAGGAACGCAAGTCCAGGTCCTAAAATATTAAAACTTTAAAACAGCATTAGAATATGCCGGGAACGCAAGTCCAGGTCCTAATATATTAAAACCGTAGAACAGAATTAGGATATGCCAGGAACACAAGTCCAAGTCCTAAAATAATACGTTTTGAAGAAAAAAGTCATTGGTCACAAGTAAAATTTCTTTTAATAATAATTTTAGAGCGATCTTTACTTTTTGTAAAATATATAGACTATTTTTAAAATTTTGTATCTATCTATCTATTTATGATAAAATGTACATTTTTTGAAACATATTATTTTGTCAAAATTTGGTTTATAAGTATCTATCTATACTATCTATCTATATATCTATCTATGTCTATTTCTATATATATCTGTCTAACTGGATGAGTATGGCAAGTCTATATGTTTATCTATCTATATTTTGCCTATCTATAAGTGTATGAGTGTATTTGATGAATTGAATGTCAAGAACACACTGTGTATGGAGGAGTAAAGAAAACCAAAAACTTATCTTAACTTTTACAATATATCTATCATTGCTTGGCTGTCTGTCCGTTTGTATCCAATAAACATCAAAACGGCTGAACCGATATGACCAAATTTTTTGTGGAACCTCGCGTTTATGGATGATCGAATTTTCAAAAATTTGCATCTATCAAAATTCTATTTTTGAAAATTTTCAAAATATTTTCTTTTACAATGTACACAAAGAGAACATGTTTTCACAACGGAAATGTAACTAATAGCCTAGAAAGTTATATTTTTTATATCATCCGAAAAATAAGGCTTTTTATGTTAGTATATTTTATTCAGCATTGCAAATTATTTGCTGTCTCTTTAAGTTTTAATCAGATTATTAATTATACTTGGTGTCTGTTTTAAGGTCTAAATTCTCACATCCGTTGATTTTTAATAATTATTTTACACACAGATTCACACAAGCCCTGATTTTTTCCTAAACTCAAAACAGAAAAAATTTCTAACTTTTATCTCATCCATAATTTACAACCTTAAATAGTTTTTGGTGAATTTGGCCTGTCTGTAATTTTGTGTGAAAAATGCTTCGGTTTTCAGATTTTAAAAACTTGGATTTTCTTACCCTTGTTACAGTTGGGCTTATTATTATGTTGAAAGGGAGTAATTCAACCCTTATTTGTTATGTTACCCTTTTCTGTTGGGATAAGGGACACTTTTCTGTTGGGAACTTGGGATAGGGGTTTGTGAATGTGATAAATGATCATGATCCATCTTTATGAGGGCTCCGGAGGAAATTGAGAAGTGTTTTACGTGAGTTCATAAAAATATATTTGTATAGGTTAAAAGGAATTGAATTTTTGCCACAAACTTTGGTTTTATAATCCCTATATCTTTGTAACCTCATGTCTTAGAGCTTAGATATTTCAAACTATGTACTAATAAAATAATCTAAGCTTACATTACAATATACAAGGTTTTACGCTCAGGTTGCAATCTAAATTTAAAGCTCTAAACGATCTGATATGATGTGGGACACCCTGTACTAGTGTACAATCTTGAGTCTAAAAGTCGTCTTTCTCTTCCACAGCTTTCTCCGGAACCCAGTGTCTATGAATGTATGAGTGTAAGTATCCGCTGGTGAAAATTGAATAATTGGCAAGGAATTGAAACAAATAATAGAGACAGTATTCACTTAACAGAAAAGGGACTGTACACAGTTATTAAAATGGTTCCTTTAAAACATTTTTAAATTTGTTTTTATATTATTGAGCTTCTTTTTAACGAGGACTATCAAATTATGAGCTCGTAAAAAAATATTTAAATTATATAATTTTTATCAAAACAAAACGAACGTTTTGTTTAAGATGACAAACACAATGTTAGTGATATCTATATCTAAAGACTAACTTTGTTTTAAATATCCCAATCTTAGAAATTTTTAACACAATGTAAGTGATTCTGCTAATCTGCAGGGAAGATTTTCGAATTTTAAAAACGTGCTTCAACAAAATTCGACTTTTGAAAAATTTAAAAATACACGAAATTCTTTTATAAAATCCTCTTTTTTATACAATGTATTCAAAGAGAAAATGTTTACAAATGAAATATAAGATGATGGGCACGAAGCGCCTAAAAGCCTATAAGTCTATAAATTTAATTTGCTTGTCTGTAATTGTATCCAATAAACGTCTATACGGCAGAACCGATCGGACTCAAATTTTGTGTGGTACCTCGCATGACCCCAAGGAAGGTTTATGGATGCTCAAAATTACAAAAATTGTGTCCAAGAGTTTTTTATTTTTGTAAGATTTTAAAAATGTGCAAATAAATATTATTTAATCCGCGAATTTTTTTTGCTATGTTTTATGTTGGAAGAAAAAGGAAGATGCTCAAAATTCTAAATTGAAATAGAAGATGGGCGCGAAAAGTCTTGTAGAAATAATATAGTTTTCCCCCGGCTCACAAACTTAATAAAAAGGCCAAGGGTTTAAGATAAATGGAGATATGATTGAATATGAAAGGAAATTATTTCTTTTTATAAATCTGATTATACAAAAAATTATCTTGTATACATCTACTATTCACACTTTATGAAGGAGAATGTCAAAATAATTTGACACTATTGGTACGATTGTGTGACCTTGTCGCTCCTCTATACATACTTATAGAATGTTCTTCTCAATAGCTCTGTGCTTTTTCTCAATATGTTTAAATGTCAAATATATAATAAAAGTAAAACATCTAGATTAAAATGTTAACATTACTTAATATAGCATATTGTAGAAAAGGCAAATGAACATTTTTTCTCGTTTTTTAACTTTTTGGTAAACAGAGTTGTTTAATCAATATAAGAACTGTAACTTATATTTTCATTTATCATAACGGGTTACCCACAAAGGGTGCGAATAGAACGACGACTAAAAATAGAGATCCAAAAATAGCTTTTTAATTGTTAACAAAATAGTTTGGTAAAGAAAAGAAAAGAAGCTAGATTTTTCCATTAATTACATTAAAACTCTATTTTCTTAAAATAACAAGTTTGTGATTTAACAATTGATGTGGTAAAAGAATTACCTTTGAGACCCAAAACCACAAAAATTGTGAAAAAAATCTTACCGCTCTTTGCCACATCCGCCACATCTACCCCTTGTTCATTCGCCATAAAGCCAAGGAAGGAAAATATGACAACTCCAGCAAACATTGATGTACAACTATTCACAGCGCAGATAATCAGGGCATCCTAAATATGTAAAATTGTGCAGAACAATGTACAGCAACATTGATGTACAATCATTCACAGCACAGTTAATCAGGGCATCCTGAACATGTACAATTGTACAGAACAGATAACTAGGGTGTTTTAAACATGTAAAATTGTACAGTTCAGATAATAGGGTGCCTTATATATGTAAAGTTGTACAGTGCAAAAAATTAGGGCATCCGAAACATATGTACAATTGTACAGTACAGATATCAAGGCGTCCTAAACATGTACAATTGTACAGTACAGATAATTAGGGCATCCTAAACATGTTCAATTGTACATTACAGATATTAAGGTATCCTAAACATGTAATATTGTACAGTAAAGATAATTCAGGCTTCCTAAACATATGTACAATTATACTGTACAGATAATCAGGGCTTCCTAAATATGTACAGTTGTATAGTACAGATATAATGGTGTCTTTACATGCACAATATAGACAATCAGGTCATCCTAAACATGTACAATTGTACAATACAGAAATCAGTGCATTCTAAACATGTACAATTGTACAATACAGATATCAGGGCATTCTAAACATGTACAATTGTACAATACAGATATAAGGGCATTCTAAACATGTACAAAACCGAAATTTTAGGCTTTGTAGATCTTTTTTCAAAATTCTAATTTATTTTGGCAATTCTAATTATTTTATTAGATTCTAATTCTAATTCTAATTGATAAATTACACATAGTTCATAGGGCAAAGGAATCCATGTTCACAATGTAAATTGTTTTAATATTTTATTTTTTGATTTCGCATAATTTTTACTAAGTTTAAAATACCAAAGGTTTACACCATCAGGTTACAAAGATTAGAGTTTGAAGTCTTTCTCCTTCAAGAATTTTAACATCGACAAACTTACTTTAACATCGATTTATCTTACTTGATAAACGTTGTTATGGTATTTGTTGTAGCTACCCAGGGCAATTATAGCTCCAAGCCCAAGTCCATAAGAGAAGAAAATCTACAAAAAAATATATATTTATTTATGCTTGTAAGTTTTTTTTGTACTTAATTAATGTAAAAACGGGCCAAATTTTTTTCTAGTAACTTACATGATCCACAACAAGATTTTTAGAATTTTTGAAAAGTTGAGCATTTGTATATACATACATCCACCATTGAAATTATGAAATCCGCAATATTTTTCTTTCTTTTGAAAATGTATTAAGTAGCATTTAAAAGCAAAAATTATCACAAGATACGTCGGCGCGAAGCGTCATAAATTCTTTGTTTTAATTAAAGTACAAGATCACAGAGCTTAAAGTTTTCCTTTCAAGCATTAGTGGGAGAAGTTTTAAAAGTATAAAAACAATTCTGAGTTAGTTTCAAATTAGCAAAGTTTAAATTACGAAATTGAGTGTTTGCAACAAACATGTTAAATCTCTTTGTACACCCAATGTTGGTTAAAATAATATAATTTAAAAATATTAAAGGTTTACATCATCAGGTGGCAAAGAAATAAAGATTAGAAAATTTAATTTTGCAACAAAGACTCATGCATCTTCCTTTATCTCTCTTTACTTTATTTTTGAGTGTCTGCTTCATACCCACTGACCGGGCGATACAGTACAAAGTGGAACCGGAAAAGTTGACCCAGCTCGGAAATTCAACTACTACGACTGCCCGTGCGCGACTCTTCATGTTTTGTTGGGCTTTAGATATTTATTTTAATCTCTAAACTGGACGATTTTTGTTTACTTTTCTTTATAAATCAGGGTAAAGAAGTAAATCTATAATTTTGTAAGAAACACTAGTGCTAACTGCTAATATAAAATAGACAAAACACCATTTTTAATTAAATTAAAGTAAAGTAATAAGCATAGAGAATAGAATATATATATAGAGAGGAATTCACTAGAAAAAAGTGTAAAACTTGTATGCTTGTATGTCCGATCATAACTATGAAACCCCTTTGCCCGGTTTTCTTGAATTTTAATCGAAAACATTTTTTATTTATTTTTTATTTTCTACTTTTTACTCTTTCTTAAGCTTTTTTATGGTGGAAAAAAACTCAAAAGAAAATACTTCTTCGCTAATATATAAATATTTGAATCGTTAAAGCTGGTTAAACGAATGGACTGCAATTGGCTATATTTTTCTAGGAAACCCATGGCTAACCCGGTGCTGACCTTTTCAATAGTTCTCAAAACGCAGGGTACTCTAGCTGGTTTTTTGCATATTCAAGCTCGGCTTTTAAGTCAGAAATATTGCACTTTAAATTATAATCATTGATATAGATTTATTTCGCGCACAAAGATAAAATAGAACAAAATAATCATCTTTGACTTGGAGTAATTCATGAAGTATGGTTAATTTCTATTCTTGGTCTGAAGGAATCACACAATACTTGTTTAGATTTCTAGATTGTACATTACAATCTTCTGTAATAGATTCAAGATTTTTACATAAAACAGTTCTTGAATCATTTTCACTTACATCTACTAAAAGTCAAATATATCCCTAAAGTTATCTAACCTGAGTTCCAGCATCAATCCATACTCTTGAGTCTCCTAGTCGGGATAAATCAGGTTTCATGTAGTATTCCAAACCTAATCCAAACCAAACCAAACTTTATTAGTATTCCAAATCTAATCCAAACCAAACCAAACTTTATTAGTATTCCAAACCTAATCCAAACCAAACCAAACTTTATTAGTATTCCAGACCTAATCCAAACCAAACCAAAATTTATTAGTATTCCAAACCTAATCCAAACCAAACCAAACTTAATTAGTATTCATCCAAACCAAACCAAACTTTATTAGTATTCCAGACCTAATCCAAACCAAACCAAACTTTATTAGTATTCCAGACCTAATCCAAACCAAACCAAAATTTATTAGTATTCCAAACCTAATCCAAACCAAACCAAACTTAATTAGTATTCCAGACCTAATCCAAACCAAACCAAACTTTATTAGTATTCCAAACCTAATCCAAACAAAACCAAACTTTATTAGTATTCCAAACCTAATCCAAACCAAACCAAACTTTATTAGTATTCCGAACCTAATCCATATCAAACCAAACTTTATTAGTATTCCGAACCTAATCCAAATCAAACCAATCTTTATTAGTATTCCAAACCTAATCCAAACCAAACCGAACTCTTTTAGTATTCTAAACCTAATTCAAACCAAACCAAACTTTAATAGTATTTCAAACCTAATCCAAACCAAACCAAACTTTATTAGCATTTCAAACATGATCCAAACCAAACCAAATTTTATTAGTATTCCAAACCTAATCAAAACCAAACCAAAACATTATAAGTATTCCAAACCTAATCGAAACCAAAACATAATTGATATTCCAACCCTCAGTTCAAACAATAGTAATACACGACGCGATTTTTAAATTATTCGTTGTTATGATTTGAAAAATTATGTAAAATATACATTCATGGTTTTTTAGTTATCTTATAAACGCCAAAAGTCTGAACCAGTCGGGCCCAAATTTCGTGAGAGATTGTATCTGTTTGGTCTGAAATAAAAGTAATGTAATCAATTTTTTTCGCAAATCCACCAACGAAATAGTTAAATCTGCGAAATTATAAAAGCTTTGAATTTTAAAATTATTACAAGAAATAAGGTTTTTTTGATTTGTTTGCCCAAAGAAGCTCCCTCCAGCGTGATTCCTCGAATCAACAGGATTACCAACAGGAAGTAGGGGAACAGGGCAGTAAAGTAAACAACCTGCAGTACATTAAGGAGACTGTAAGCGTAATTTCAAGTGACATTCATGCAAAGATCACAACGCCCGATTTACAACGGTTCCCTTGAAACTTTAATTTTATAAAAAATATGGAAAATACTTTCGATTTCTGACTCGAAAAGTTTTTATTTCTGTGAGTTTCTCCATAGCTGAAAACTTAAGAATGAAATATCCAGATATCCGATGGATTAGCTTCTCTGGAGTTTAAATTCATGTGGAGAACAAGCAATATTTAAATTGGATATTAAGAAAAAGAGTGGTTTAAGCCTTAATCCTGATATCCACCATTCTAAAGTTTTCAGCTCATGTTTCTTAAAAGCAAGAAATGCACAAGCCATCTTTGCATGGAGGGTCACTTGAAATTACGATTACAGTCAACAATAAAAAACCTAACTAAGAAATTGCACTTTAATCTTTTATATTAAAATATCAACACAAAATATGTTGTTTAGTTGCAGGGTTACTCACAAAGAATAAGACCTCAGATACAAATTCATTCATTTTTTTAATTTACTCTTTCCTGCAGCTGTAAACTTTTCCCCCCTAAAAATGACTAAATCATGTAAAAAACTATACTCTCAACAAAACCCCAATTTTAACCTTGAAATTGCTAAATAATAACAGATTTAATAAATAAAAATAAGAAGTTGAACCCTGTAGATACAGTTCAACCCCGTAGATACAGTTGAACCCCGTAGATACAGTTCAACCCTGTAGATACAGTTCAACCCCGTAGATACAGTTAAACCCCGTAGATACAGTTCAACCCCGTAGATACAGTTGAACCCTGTTGATACAGTTGAACCTCGTAGATACAGTTGAACCCCGTAAATACAGTTCAACCCCATAGATACAGTTCAACCCCGTAGATACAGTTCAACCCTGTAGATACAGTTCAACCCCGTAGATACAGTTCAACCCCGCAGATACAGTTCAACCCCGTAGATACAGTTCAACCCCGTAGATACAGTTCAACCCCGTAGATACAGTTTACAAGTAGACAAGTAGACAAGTAGACAAGTAGACAAGTAGAAAAGTTGGCAAGTGGATAAGTAGACAAGTAGACAAGTAGACAAGTAGACAAGTAGAGAATCTGACAAGAAGACAAGTAGACAAGTAGACAAGTAAGGAATTTGAAAAGTAGACAAGTTGAAAAGTAGACAAATTGAAAAGTAGACAAGTTGAAAAGTAGACAAGTTAAAAAGTAGACTAGAAGACTAGTAGATATGTAGAAATGTAGACAAGTAGACATGTATAAATGTAGACAAGTAGACAAGAAGACAAGTAGACAAGAAGACAAGTAGACAAGAAGACAAGTAGACAAGAAGACAAGTAGACAAGAAGACAAGTAGACAAATAGACAAGTAGACAAGTAGCAAAAGTAGACAAATAGACTAGTAGACAGGTAGACAAATAGACAAGTTGGCAAGTAGATAAGTAGACAAGTAGACATGTAGACAAGTAGACAAGAAAACAAGTAGACAAGTAGGCAAATAGACAACTAGATACACAGTTAGCAAATAGACAACTAGACTTACAAACAGTTAGATTTGAAATTAGACTAAACAACTTGACAACTACTGAAAGGCCAGGCAACTAAAATAAAAATACTTTTCTTACCCCAGGACTCTGTTGTAAAGCCTTTTTCTCCCAAAACTCTTGTACTGGGTCGGTCACATTAAGAACAAACAGATTCATCGTTTCATTGAACTTGTTCATAAACTCACAGTAGTCAGCAGAAATATACTCTATACCTTCCTAGAATAGGAGATATAAACTCTACACCTTCCTAGAATAGGAGATATATACTCTACAACTTCCTAGAATAGGAGATATATACTCTACACCTTCCTAGAATAGGAGATATATACTCTACACCTTCCTATAATAGGAGATATAAACTCCACACCTTCCTAGAATAGGAGATCTACTCTATACCTTCCTAGAATAGGAGATATATACTCTTACCTTCCTAGAATAGGAGATATATACTCTACACCTTCCTAGAATAGGATATATATACTCTATACCTTCCTAGAATAGGATATATATACTCTACACCTTCCTAGAATAGGAAATATATACTCTATACCTTCCTAGAATAGGAAATATATACTCTATACCTTCCTAGAATAGGAAATATACTCTACACCTTCCTAGAATAGGAGATATATACTCTATACCTTCCTAGAATAGGAGATATACTCTGCACCTTTCTAGAATAGGAGATATATACTCTATACCTTCCTAGAATAGAAGATATATACTCAACACCTTCCTAGTATAGGACATATATACTCTGCACCTTCCTAGAATAGGATATATATACTCTACAACTTCCTAGAATAGAAGATATATACTCAACACCTTCCTAGTATAGGACATATATACTCTACACATTCCTAGAATAGGATATATATACTCTACACCTTCCTAGAATAGGAGATATATACTTAACACCTTCCTAGAATAAGAGATATATACTCTATACCTTCCTAGAATAGGAGATATACTCTACACCTTCCTAGAATAGGAGATATATACTCTATACCTTCCTAGAATAGGAGATATAAACTCTACACCTTTCTGGAATAGCAGATATATACTCTATACCTTCCTAGAATAGAAAATATACTCTAAACCTTCCTAGTATAGGAGATATATACTCTACACCTTCCTAGAATAGGAAATATAAGTTCTATACCTTCCTAGAATAGGAAATATATATTCAACACATTCCTAGAATAGCAGATTTATACTCTACACCTTCCTAGAATAGGAAATATATATACTCTACACCTTTCTATAATAGGAGATATATACTCTACACCTTCCTAGAATAGGAGATATATACTCTATACCTTCCCAGAATAGGAAATATAAACTCTACACCTTCCTAGAATAGGAGATATATACTCTACACCTTCCTAGAATAGGAGATTTATACTCTATACCTTCCTAGAATAGGAGATACATACTCTACACCTTCCTAGACTAGAAGATATATACTCTACACCTTCCTAGATTAGGAAATATATACTCTACACCTTCCTAGAATAGGAGATATATACTCTACACCTTCCTAGAATAGGAGATTTATACTCTATACACCTTCCTAGAATAGGATTAGTATATTCTACACCTTCCGTATGAGATAGGGATTAGAGGATAGAAGACAGAATTATGAATGAAATTATGAAGAAAAAATGATTAAAATTTTACCGTTTTACAATCTTTATAATCTGCGGGTAGGATACTGCAGGCAACATTCTCTCTCGGCCTGTTGATCAATTAAATTGTAAAACACAATATTAATGATTTTTATTTGATGATCGCCCCTCTTCGAAATTGCAAACAGAGTTTTAGATATTTAGAAAAAAAAGTTCATTTTATGAATACTAATAACAAAGATATGACAGAACGCAGAGATATAAAAAAATGAGTATTAATGGGATACACAATGGTACCCTGAAACCTACTTCTGATCAATAATTTAAGAGATATTTTTATAGCTTCAAAGTGATAATTCCTTTATGCTTCCTTACACCTCACATTTGTAAAGAAACCACATTTAAAAAAGATCAGTTTTTAAAGTTAAAAAAACATTGATATCTAATTTATTCTTTTTTCAGTTTTCAAGGGTACCTTTGTATATCTATAGTCGGGCATTGTCGCTTAATTCTCTATATATAAGGTTTCATTAATTAATATTAAATAACAAAATGTTGTTGACCTGCAGCTTTCATTGTACGCTTTTTCATAGGGATTTCTGCATGTTTCAGTATTCCAACCATTCTCACATGTTCGCCATGGGAGATCTTAAACGTATTTTATTAAATCAAAAAATTTTTAAAAAACATTAAGTTATGAACATATTATTGCTTCTGTATCTGTTTCAATGTGGTTTTTAATACCTGTCTCTTTATCTTTATCAGCATAAATGTTTGTATGTATATCAACTACTGTATTTATAATTGTATCTGTATCTGTATCTGTATCTGTATCTGTATCTGTATCTGTACCTGTATCTGTATCTGTATCTGTATCTGTACCTGTATCTGTACCTGTATCTGTTTCTGTAACTGTTTCTGTAACTGTTTCTGTACCTGCACCTGTATCTGTATCTGTATCTGTATCTGTATCTGTATCTGTATCTGTATCTGTATCTGTATCTGTATCTGTATCTGTATCTGTATCTGTATCTGTATCTGTATCTGTACCTGTATCTGTACCTGTACCTGTACCTGTACCTGTACCTGTACCTGTACCTGTATCTGTATCAGTATCTGTACTGTACCTGTACCTGTACCTGTACCTGTACCTGTATCTGTATCAGTATCTGTATCTGTATCTGGATCTGGATCTGGATCTGGATCTGGATCTGGATCTGTATCTGTTTCTGTATCTGTATCTGTATCTGTATCTGTATCTGTGTCTGTATATGTGTCTGTATCTGTATCTGTGTATGTATCTGTACCTGTATCAGTGTCTGTATCTGTATCTGTATCTGAATCTGTATCTGTATCTGAATCTGTATCTGTATATGTATCTGTATCTGTATCTGTATCTGTATTTGTTTCTGTATCTGTATCTGTATCTGTATCTGTGTCTGTATCTGTGTCTGTATCTGTGATTGTATCTGTGTCTGTATCTGTGTCTGTACCTGTATCTGTATCTGTATCTGTATCTGTATCTGTATCTGTATCTGTATCTGTATCTGTATCTTGTATATGTATCTGTATCTGTATCTGTATCTGTATCTATATCTGTATCCGTATCTGTATCTGTATCTTATCTGTATCTATATCTGTATCTGTATCTGTATCTGTATCTGTATCTGTATCTGTATCTGTGTCTGTGTCTGTGTCTGTGTCTGTATCTGTATCTGTAAGTCGGCCATTTAAAATAATTTTCAAATTTTGGCGGATTTTCTTTTTGATTTGTTGAAATTCCCCAGAAATGTTTTCTCCAATGATTATGTTTCGTAAATCTTTCATGGGGTCATGTGAGGTCCCACACAGTATATATATAGATGTGAACACCTTGAGTTAAGATTTTCGGTAGAAATATAGGCGTCCTGAAAGCCTTTAGTATTATTTATTGGCTAAGTTACAAATGATTTAAGTCTGAATTGAAGCATGTCCTTTCAGTGTAATCTCAAACCTATTGGGCAAAGGTGATACTAAGCAATACTTGTGAACACAAATTTTATTAAAAGGTTGAATTTACATTGTTTCCTGTCGTTATTGAAGTATTTGACATGCATGGAAACTTTGCATTTATTTTAAAAATTTGTGAATTTGGTGATAACATCAAATTGTGGATGTCACAAGAATAAATATTCACAAGAAGCAAAATGTGAATTGGAATAATGAAACGGTGGAATTTTCGGGGTTTTTTCAACTATGTCAATTTAAATGATTTCCTAAGTTGCTCAAACATTTATAGAAATTGTCAATTACAAATTCCTCGACGGTAAAAGGTAGAACAAAGACGCTAATCATTTTACATTTCTGGTTCTCATGTATTTTATCATTATGTTCTTTCTTAAAGAGTTAGCGTTTCTATCGTGGACTCACAAAAAATATATTACCTGAAGAAAGAGACTCATAAAATATATATTACATTATGATAAGAACTCATAAAATATATGTTACCTAAAGATAGAATCTCTTAAAATATATAATACCTAAAGATAGAATCTCATAAAATATATGTTATCTAAAGATTGCAAGACTCATAAAATATATATTACATTATGATAAGAACTCATAAAATATATGTTACCTGAAGATAGAGACTCTTAAAAAATATATTGATTGAAGATAAGGACTCATAAAATTTATATTACCTGAAGATAAGGACTCATAAAATTTATATTACCTGAAGAAAGGGACTCATAAAATATATATTGCCTGAAGAAAGGGACTCATAAAATATATATTGCCTGAAGAAAGGGACTCATAAAATATATATTGCCTGAAGAAAGGGACTCATAAAATATACATTACCTGAAGAAAGGGACTCATAAAATATATATTATCTGAAGATAGGGACTTATAAATGACATGTTACCTGAAGATAGCGACTCATAAAAGTAGTAGAGACCCCAGGCCAGAACGATGATGTAATATACATTTAACCAGCAGGCCATTACTGCAGCAGCAATACCGACACCCTGGACAGTGTACATACATTACATAAATATCCTGTAAAGTGTACATAAGTACGTAAACATCCTTTATAGTGTACATACAGTATAAACACATTCTGTACAGTGTACACTGTATATACAGCACATAAACAACCTGTTTAGTGTACATACAGTAGAAAAACACCGTATAATATTAAATATTACGTATACACTCCCTATAACTCTGAAACCAGCCTTAAATATTACGTATACACTCCCTGTAACTCTGAAACCAACCTTAAATATTACGTATACACTCCCTTTAACTCTGAAACCAACCTTGACTATTACGTATACACTCTCTTTAACTGTGAAACCAACCTTAAATATTATGTATACACTCTCTTTAACTCTGAAACCAACCTTGACTATTACGTATACACTCTCTTTAACTCTGAAACCAACCTTAAATATTACGTATACACTCTCTTTAACTGTGAAACCAACCTTAAATATTATGTATACACTCTCTTTAAATGTGAAACCAACCTTAAATATTACGTATACACTCTCTTTAACTCTGAAACCAACCTTAAATATTACGTATACACTCTCTTTAACTGTGAAACCAACCTACAATATTACTTGAGCACTCCCTGTAACTCTGAAACCAACCTACAATATTACGTATACACTTCCTTTAACTCTGAAACCAACCTTGACTATTACGTATACACTCTCTTTAACTGTGAAACCAACCTTAAATATTGGAGAAATCTTGTAAACACCTAGTCCACCTATTGATAGAAATTGTCCAAGAGCAACCTTTTATAGAAAAAAGTTTTTCTTTTTGTAAGAAATATAAATTGGTTAATTTTAAAACATCTCCAAGTTCGAAAATTTCAAATATATTTACAATAAATACATTAATCAAACAATAATTAAATTTTGAAAATGAAAAAAATTTGAATTAGATGCCATGTTTCTTCTAAATATTTTCTAAATAATAAGCTCGACAGTTTCTAATAAATCAGAAAATGCAGGTTGTATTGAATGATAACTAAACTATCATTTTCTTCACAATCAATACCATTTTTTCTTGGTATTTTGAAATAAGAGGTTTCTTATCGTCTCTACATATAACATTCAGATCCAATTAAATTTCTTTGGTCCTACATTCAATTTTTTTAAACAAAAAAATGTTGAAAAAAAAACTATTTTTTCCTCGAGCATGAACATCGGTACCCCGGCAAACACGAGGGTGAGAACGTAGGGAACCAGGAATGCTCCTGAAAACAGTATTAATTTTTGTTTCAATTTTCATCTTTCTTTGCACGCACTTTAATAGTAATAATAGTTAATAATTGTACAAATTTTGGGATTTCTTGGTATTTCATATTCAGAGTTTTCAAACAAATAAAAAAATCGACTCGCAAAAAAAATTAATTTTGCTTAGAACTCCGTAATTGCGCATAAAGTAAACACAGATTATGCGAAAAAATGTTGCAAAATTGAGTTTTAGCTTCAGGATCAGCCCTTTCCGTACCTTTATGCACAAATCAAAACAGGCAAGAAATGCACACAATAGTAGACAAATAGCAAATTGAAAAATACTTATTATCTTTATTAATATCTGTAAATATGTGAATATCTATTACTGTTTCATACAATCTTCAGGTTATGCATTAAGAAATAATCAATAATTAAAAATAATAATTTTATTTAAATATATTTTTAGTTTTATGTTAAATAAACATTAATTATTTTTTACCTCCTCCATTTCTAAAACAAAGATAAGGAAATCTCCAGACATTACCCAAACCAATTGCATAACTAAAAAATGTTAATCAAAGAAAATGAGTTTTTGCCAACAAATCCTATTTTTAAGTCTTTCAAACCTTTCCAACCCGATTTTGTAGAATTTTAAGAATTTTTATCGTTTCTAAGAAGCATCGTTTTTCGTTTCATTTTTATGTTTTTTTTCTAAATTATTTATTGTTTTTGAAAAACTATAGTTTTTTAATTTTTATTATGAATCAAAGTTTTAAGACAATTAGTTTTTTTGTTCTTTTTATAGAAACAAAAAACCAGAATGCTTAATGCCCTCAAATTTTCCTACCAAAAAATTCTCAGGCACACTGCCTGAATGACTGTTTTTTCCTGTAGCAAACTAAATCTTTGTTTTGACCCACTTCCACTTGTCAGATTTTGATAAAATTTAGCTTTTTGGAAAGCCTTTGACACAAGAAAACGAATTCCACAAGTTTTGCGAAAACAACCTGTCAAAGAAATTGGCACATTTTTAGTTTTCTTGATTAAAAATCAGGCTATTTAAAATTTTGCAAAAATTTTTGCATATTTGAAATGGCATGGTCAAGGCTTTTCAAAAATGTATAATTTTTCATTTTTTGGACAAATTTTTTTTGCAAACAATTGACATCCCTTCTCACATGCCTTCCCTTCTCTTATGCCTTCCCTTCTCACATGACATCCCTTCTCACATGCCTTCCCTTCTCACATGACACCCCTTCTCACATCCTTCCCCTCTAAATCCCATGTTTTATGTCTAAATATGACAAATGATACATCATNATATGACAAATGATACATCATTGGAAAGCTCTTGTGCTCTACTTTTAGAATCTGCAAAAAAATTTGCAAATTTTCAAAAATTGAATTTTTTATCGCAAAATCCATGGCATGTGAGAAGGGGAGGCATGTGAGAAGGGGCTCACATGACATCCCTTCTCAAATGCCTTCCCTTCTCACATGACACCCCTTCTCACATCCTTCCCCTTCTCACATGCCTCCCCTTTGCAAATTTTTTTGCAGATTCTAAAAGTAGAGCACAAGAGCTTTCTACAAATAATGGGCCCACAGAGCCCTCATGTAGTTTTTCTGTACACCCCTCTTGTGCTCTACTTTTAGAATCTGCAAAAAAATTTGCAAATTTTTTTGCAGATTCTAAAAGTAGAGCACAAGAGCTTTCCAATGATGTATCATTTGTCATATTTGGACATCAAACACGGGATTTAGAGGGGGGGGTCAAATTGACCCCCGCCCCCAGCATATCCTGGTTTTCAAGTACCCCAGTAGAGATAGGGTTAACGAAGGGTCGTCGTTAACGGTCGTTAATGTAGGGTCGTTTTCAAAAACGACCCTTTTAAAAACGAAAAATTATCGATTTTTATTTAAAAAGAAAAACTATTGTTTTTGAAAACGACCATTTTTAAATAACGATTGTTTTGTTTTTCGTTTTTTCTTCTTCGTTTTCAAAACGAAATAATCGTTTTGCAAAAAAGTGAAAACAATCAATCCCTAGTTGAAGATCTTTAAAATTTCAATTTATGAAATCTTTTAGATCACTTTGTCAAAATTTTAAATATCAACGATAATTACACCATCAGGTTGCAAAGATAATTTGAGTTTGGGACAAACAAAGCATCAGTTCCTTTAAATAGGTTACCCCCTAAAAAGGATAACGACAAATGTGGATTTAGTTAAAAAAACATTCGTGATAATTCAGAAACAGAAAGTTTTGATACAGAGTGTCTTAATAAAAATGGTAATAAAACGACGACTTCTATCTCGTCTTTGTTCTGCATGGAATTATTACTTGAACTTGGAGGAAAATGCTCTTGTTGTATATCTAGGGTAACAAATACTTATTTTAATGATTATTTCCGCCTACAGACTACAGTTGAATGAATGTGTTTAAACCCATGAATGATCGTGGCCAATTTTGCAAAACACATAAATATCAGCTTGTAGTGTAAGAGGACAAAAAAGTGCAAAAAAACTGGAAGTACTTTGGGAGATAACTCAAAAAGTGTATGTCTGAGGTTGTTCAAATTCTCGACTTTTCTTATTATGATATGCCCCACACATAAGGCTCAAAACAGGGCTTTAAAAACCTACTGCCTGAGTCCTCAGGCATACTGCCTGAATGCCTAATTTTACCTTTACTCTGCTAAATCTATATTTAGACTTACTTTCGGTCATTGGACTTTTATAGCTTTTTATAGCTTTTTGTAAAGGAAGTAGATTGCACAATTTTTGCGAAGAACTTTTACACGGATTTTGCACAGATGTCATGAAAGAAAATTTGCAGATTTTCAGTTTTCCTTGAAAAGAAATTTAGCTTTTGAAAATTTTTAAATTCGCCAGGGTAAGGGATTTTCAAAAATGTATACTTTATTATAATTTCGCGCAATTTTTGTTTTTGCACATTTTTGCTTAATAACTTGATATTGCAGTAAATATGAAAAATGTTGCAAATTTGCATTTTTTGCAGATTATCAAAAGTGTATCAAATGTCAAAAATTTGTATCAAAATAAGGAAATAGCCCTGACTATTTTGGGTGAACCCGACGTCAGCCTGGGATATAAAATAGTATAATTAACCTGGATCCCCGGGATATAAATAGTATAATTAACCTGGATCCCCAGGATATAAAATAGCATAATTAACCTGAATCCCTGGGATATAAAATAGTATAATTAATCTGGATCCCTTGGATATAAAATAGTATAATTAATCTGGATCCCCGGGATATAAAATAGTATAATTAACCTGGATCCCCGGGATATAAAATAGTATAATTAACCCGGATCCCCGGGATATAAAATAGTATAATTAACCCGGATCCCCGGGATATAAAATAGTATAGTTAACCTGGATCCCCGGGATATAAAATAGTATAATTAATCTGGATCCCCGGGATATAAAATAGTATAATTAACCTGGATCCCCGGGATATAAAATAGTATAATTAACCTGGATCCCCGGGATATAAAATAGTATAATTAATCTGGATCCCCGGGATATAAAATAGTATAATTAACCTGGATCCCCGGGATATAAAATAGTATAATTAACCTGGATCCCCGGGATATAAAATAGTATAATTAACCTGGATCCCCGGGATTTAAAATAGTATAATTAATCTTGATCCCCGGAATATAAAATAGTATAATTAACCTGGATCCCTGGGATATAAAATAGTATAATTAACCTGGATCCCTGGGATATAAAATAGTATAATTAATCTGGATCCCCGGGATATAAAATAGTATAATTAACCTGAATCCCCGGGATATAAAAAAGTATAATTAACCTGGACCCCTGGTTCCTCACTTCCTCCATTAATCTCAGTCCTCATCTCCATGAGCTGCTGATGTTCAGGCTCCCCCATTCTATCTGAAACCAATCAATCAATATACCAATCAATTAATCAATTATGGCGTGAATCAATTAATCTATCAATTATGAATTCAGACAACTATTAAGCTTACTACAAGCAATCAAGTAAAAAGTCAAACAATCAACCAAACAGTAATTAAACTACTCGATTTACTCGATTAACTAATTAATTTATTAATTGATTAATCAATTAATTAATTAATCAAACCTTTGATCAATCCATCAATCAACTTTTGAGAAAGTACACTGCAAAAAAGTCCATTTTTCCTCGTAACATATTAAATTGTTCTTACCAATTGTAGAGTTATGTCGATTCACTAGAGTATCCTATAAAGCTGATCAATAATAATTATTCTTATTTGTAAACAGAAACACTTGAATCTTCAGATACCTTTGTTCACCAGCTGTTTCATTGTTAAAAAATATATATATTTAATTTTGAAATCGCAAACAATTAATTTTCTATAAAAGTTTTTTTATTCAGGTATATATAACTAGCCTCCACTCAGTATTTTTCTAGTATTTAAACATCATTTAAGAAATAAACACACAGAGTTCTCCACCGTTGAACAGTCAGGATACCGTTATAAATTTCTTTCTTTGCATGGTTCCTACAGCTTAAACGAATTAATTTAGTTTATGATAGAATTGATGCAAACAAATAATGGGCCCACAGAGCCCTCATGTAGTTTTTCTGTACACCCCTCTTGTGCTCTACTTTTAGAATCTGCAAAAAAATTTGCAAATTTTTTTGAAATTATCTGGAATAGAATCTTTTCTCATTTCCCCTCCCAACCTTTACATACACATCACATTCCATATTCCCAGTATTATCAATATTCTCATTTGTTTTCATAAAAATATCAATATTTTTATCCTTTTTACTTTTCTTACTTTAAGGATAATTAATAAGAATTTTATAAATTCTTTAAAAACATTATAAAAAAAGACGATTCATGGCAATACAATTAAAATGCAAAGAGAATAAAACATATGTTAGAGTTGAATTTACTAGAAAAAGTGAAAAACGGCCATTTTGTTGTACTGTTTCCATACTGCAGGTGTACTTCATATATTTTGTGCTAAATAACCTTTTGGGCCCTGGAACAACATTTTATAGAAAATCTAAAATTAATATTAAAAGAAAACCAAATTATGAAATAGGCTGATTTAATAATTGAACAATGATCATTTCACTTTACAAACGATGATTTTCCGTTATAACTATAAATCATTTGATGTTTTTTATTCACCTAATTCGTTTTGTAAAGTTTATTTAACAGCTTTAAGAAATTGGAAATTGAAATGGATAGTCTAGGGATCATACTGTATTAATGTACTCTACTGCCTATAAATTCGCTGGCCAAACGGCAGGACCAAATTGGCTGACATTTTTGAAGATAATTTTCCAAAATATTTTTAAAATTCCACGGGCAACGCCAGGCACTTAATGAAGTTTTCTATCAAGTTTTAAATTTGTTGAGAAATTGAAGACAAAACAAAGTGCCCAAAGGAAAATTGTGTGCGCTAAAATTTCACTTGGACCCTTGTGGAAAAGGAAGACGACTTTAAGACTCAAGTTTTGTTTATATTTGAATAATCCAATAAACATAAAACACAACAATTGTGTAATCTACACAGACCCATATCACTAAAGAGTATATTTTTATGCTACTTGTAAAACTAGTTGCTTTTTAACAACATCAAAAACACATAAACATGTTTAAAATGTCGTCTTCCTAATCCACAGTTTAATTAGCCCCTCACTGTGCCTCAACATTTAGTCCATGAAGACTGAACAGTAATTAAATATATAAATTAATTATAGTCAGACTGTAAATAATTAATTAATTAATCAATAATTAATTATCTTCACCCTTCACTGAACGCTTTTGAACAAACTATTTACTCGGTTCAGTAGCCACCAGGGAGTGAGGAATAGAAGGGAGATATAACTGACACGGTTCTCCCTACCATATGATTATACATGCTTTGCAGACGGGTACTCCATTTGAATAAGATATATTTGTCTGATGTACAATTACCGCGTATACAATTACCTATTCTGAATATTTCTTATTCAAATGTAGTACCCGTCTGCAAAGCATGTATAATCAAATGGTAGGGCGAACCGCGTCAGTTGTATCTCCCTTCTATTTCTTACTCCCTGATATATGCCACCAGCCAGCCCTTTATCTTTTATCCTTAGTTTGCCACAGGATATACCGAGAAAACCAGAAATCATCAAATTTTGCGTTTTTAATTTTTAATTACCGTCAAAACTATTTTTTTAAAAGCGTCAAAATACAAATTTGTATTGAATGTAACGTTTTTCTTTCTGTTTTTGCCTTTTATTTGTAAGCCTCCGATCTGTTAATGTCACAAAATAGTTTTTAGCTTTTCTTCAAATATTGTTTATTAAAATTTTTTGAAAATTAAGAGTTCTGGCTATTGCCAACTTTTGCAACATTTCAACTCTTTTTGTTCTTTTAAACTTCTATATTGAATGGAGTGTTTACTAAAAATGGTTATAAGTAACGTGTTCAATCTTATATTCAACGGTATTTGAACTCCAATTTTAAAATTCACTTTGTATTCAGTAAAACCCTTTATTTATCCCAAGGATGGATTAGGACGCGGCCCGCCCTACCATTTGATTATACATGCTTTGCAGACGGTAATTCATTTCAATAAGAAATATTCAGAATAGGTTATTGTACGCGGTAATTGTACATCAGACAAATATTTCTTATTCAAATGAAGTACCGTCTGCAAAGAATGTATACATATAATTATATGGTAGAGCGGGCCGCTTCAGCTGTATCTCCCTTCTATTCCATACTCCTTGGTTTATCCCCTTCAATTTCGATCACAATACAGTAGAAATTTATCTAAACAAACCCCCCCCACCCCCACCCATATCCCTCTAAAACCCTATATATATTCCCTGTATTCCCCTTAAACAATCTGTGCCCTCTCCTCTCCCCCCTCCTATAGATACAGAGATATAGAGATCATAGATACAGAGAATAGCGATATAGAGATTTAAAGATGCAGAGATACAATTAATCAGAGTTACAAAGATACAGAGATATAGAGATACAGAGATACAGAGAAATAGAGATGAAGATATGAAAAAATTCTAAGTTATAAAATTTGAGATATTATTGATACTAATGTTGAAATCATGAATGCACAATTTTGAAATATAATCGTAAATGCATAATTTTAATTGTTTAAGCATGCTATTAGCCTATTAAACTTAATTTAACAAAAAACAATTTTAACTAAACACGTTCTTAAATTTCCCAAAGAGTTTACGAAGGAAAAATCTACAAAAATCTCGATTTTTTCGTAAAGTATAGATTTTACATTATTAAACTAGTTAACGCTAACGTCTTTTTGAAATTAAAAAAGAGTGAAAAATTAAGAAAAAATCTTTAAAAATGCACACATCTAACACTCTTGTAAAAAAGATTTTCGTTATTTCGAAAAGTTTTCGGTAGATCGATATTATGAACAAAATGTTAAAGCTTTTTTAACAGTTTGATTTGTGCAACGGTTACCAGCAAACAGTCATGAACTTTTTAGACCGACGACTTGAAAACAATTTTCAAATGTTTTTTTTTTAAATTTACGCAAAGGAAAAAAGTGTGAGTTTAAATTGTTGAATGTTTGATGTTGTGTTTAGGTCAAAATATATTCTCGAACTGAGGTCTGAAGACTAGAGTAGTGTGCACACTATACAACAGAGGTTGTTGAGTGTATGTGAGGGTTGGAGAAGCCCATTCAGCCCTCCTCTTCCTCCCTACATCCAACTCCCCCCACCAATCCCCTCCCTTCTCCCTCTACCCCCCGTCTACGCCCTCTCCTCCCACCCTTCTCCCTCCACTTCCCTCCCCTCTCCCTATCGTACCTCCATCCATTCTTCCTCCACCTATCATGTCAAATCCCTCCCGCCCTCGATCCTTCTCCCTACCCTCGCTTCACCTTCCTCTTATTCCAGTTTTATTTCACCTCTAATCTTGCGCATCTTCTCCCGTCTCTAATCTCCACATTCTCCCATCTCTAATCTCCACATTCTCCCATCTCTAATCTATAACACATTCTCCCATCTCTAATCTCCACATTCTCCCATCTCTAATCTCCACATTCCCCCATCTCTAATCTCCAAATTCTCCAATCTCTAATCTCCACATTCCTACTCACCAATATTTATATTCTCCCATCTCCAATCTCCGCATCTGCTCATCTCCAAACTCAGAATCCTCCCATCTCTAATCTACGCATTATCCCATCTCTAATCTATAACGCATTATCCCATCTCTAATCTACGCATTATCCCATCTCCAATCCCTGCATTCTCCAATCTTTCTCTCTCATTCTCTTTGAACGCCACTGCTCCGGCCAAGCTTATGAGATATCCTGGAGACAAGCTTTACAGATATCCGTTTATACTAGACTAGAGCAACCCACGAGAATATCCGATCTGTGAGTACTAACTACGAAGGGTTTCCAGCGGAATGGAAAAATCGTTGCGTGGGATTGCGCAACGCGAGCTTGCTGACGCAAAATGCGGAATTCTGGGCAAAAGCCTATTTTGAAAAAAATTTCGAAAGAACAAGTTGATTTAAAAAAAATCTTTTTTTAAGTTATGTTACCCAATATGGTTCAGACTTTTGGCCAGCTATAGCTAACATATATATATCTAAATACAATTATATTTATATGAGCTGTATTCCATAGATTTGGGATGTCCTTTAATCTAAAGTCTGTCCGCGTCATCCGGCCTTTTTTTTAGTTATGTTACCCAATATGGTTCAGACTTTTGGCCAGCTATAGCTAACATATATATATCTAAATACAATTATATTTAAAAGATTTTTTTTTAGCCTATGTTACCCAATATGGTTCAGACTTTTGGCCAGCTATAGCTTACATATATATATATCTAAATACAATTATATTTAAAAGCCTATTTTCTTACTTTTT